CAGGCTCAGAACAGTCAACTGCCAGCTGAGACCAACTGAACACCAGAAGGTTTAGGGCAGCTTTGAAAGAGGTCTCACATCCTGGAGCCACAGGGCAGTCTGTGCAGAAGGCTGGAAGGAGACAAGGGACAGCAATGGGCAGCTCACGTCAGAATCAGAGCCCACATGGGACAGTGGGACTTGGAGTCCAAGATGGGGAGATTTGGATAGACAAGCCTGAGAAACGAAAACCCCACCCCACCCCACTCTGCATTTTCCAGCTGGTAAGGCAGGGCTGAGGGCAGAAAAGCTATTCTGTATTCTCCTTGCTCCTGCCAGGAGAAAACAGAATAGCTGCCTCTCACCTGAAGGAAGCCTCCAAGGGAGAATCTGTTTCACATCCCACTCCTCACTTCTGGCATCCCCAGCAACCACTCTTCCTTGACCTGCAGACATGTCCCTCCAATCTCACTCCACCATCACACGATGTCCTTCCACATCTGTGCCCTTCATGTGGCATTCTCCTCTTATAAGGACACCAGCCATACTGGACTAAGGGCCCATCCTACTCCAGTGTGACCTCATCTGAACTTATATCTTAATTATATCTGCAAAACCCCTATTTCCAACTTAGGTCATGCTCACAGATACTGAAGATTAGGACTTGAGTGTACCTTTGGGAGAATACGATTCAAACCACAACCCCGAGTCAGCCGCCATCAGAGCAACACGGGGCCCTGGATCACTGGGGACAGGATGGATGTGAGCTAGAGAGGGTGCTGGCATGGACGCCTCAGGACTCTGGATTGTGATCTGGCAAGGAGACACAGAACCGGTCCTAATCATCTACTGACATGACTCCTTGGAGCTGGGGCATGATAATGGCCTATAGTAAATGAAGTGGAAGTTCTAGAAGGCATCGTAATGAGGAAAGGATCGGGAAGCTCTTGGGGGAAGGAACTTGTCTTGGTTGGCTCAGGCTGCCTTACCAAAATATCCATACACTGGGCAGCTTAAACACCAGACATTCATGGCAGCACTGGAAGCTGACATGAGGGTGCCAGCATGCCCAGGTCCTGGTGAGGATGCTCTTCGGTCCTCACATGACAGGGAGTTCTGGTGTCTCTTTGTCTTCCTGTAAGGGCGCCAATTCCATCGTGTGGGCCCCACCCTAATGACCTCATCACTGAGCCTACCTTTCCTATTGGCTGCATCACCAAATACCATCATACTGGAGGTCTGGGCTTCAATATATGAATTTGTGGGGGAGCACAATTTGGCACATAGCAGAATCGTAGAATAAATTTGCTACATGAGAGCAGAGGACCCTCCCTGCAAGAGGTGCCTCATCTTATTAAGGTGAAGGAGGCACAGTTGTCTCCGGGTGATTTGTCTGTAGCTGGGGTTGACGATGGGAGCTGCTGTCACAAAACTGAGCTCCCTGGTGCCAAGAGAAATGATGGGATTCCAAATTCAAGTACTGCCTAGGATCTGATGTATTGGTGGCCATCTTGATAGGACCCAATGCTGTTCTGGATTCACCTTTACTCTTCTAAGACCTTTGTTAAACATGAATCACCAGGCACAGTGGCTCATGCCTGTAATCCCAGTACTTTGGAGGCCAAGGCGGGTTTATCACGAGGTCAGGAAATCAAGACCATCCTGGCCAACATAATGAAACCCCATCTCTACTAAAACACAAAAAATTAGCTGGGTGTAGTGGCACGCGCCTCTAGTCCCAGCTACTCAGGAGGCTGAGGCAGGAGAATTGCTTGAATCCAGGAGGTAGAGGTTGCACACTCAGCATACTCGCAGGGCTTCTCCCCGGTGTGCCTGCGGTAGTGGGTGCACGTGATCTGGTAGATGAAGGTCTTGCCACTTTGGGGCAGGTATAGGTGCACTGAGCCGCGTGCGCCTGGTGGTGGCTGGCGAGGGTGGCTGGCTGCGCAAAGCTCTTGGGACATTGATCACCGGTGAAGGGCCGCGGCCATGATGCAGGTGCTGGTGCTGTACACTGAGCTCCTTCCACACTGGGTGCAGAGTGGGCACCGCTTCGTGCCCCTATCAGCTGGCTCAGCCTGGCTCGGGGGACCTGGAGGGAGGGAGGTCACCTCTCGCTCCCTGAGGTCAGGAAGCAGACTCCCCCAGGTGCTCCCACCAGAAGCCCTTCTTGCCAGACCCCCTGTAGCAGCCCAGGTTGGTTCGCTGTCCTTGGACCCTCCCTCCAGACTCCTCTTTGCTGCCCAGCCAGGTCTCTGCAGGGAAGGGACACAGAGGGGTACAGCGAATGAGACATCCCTGTCACAGACTCTGCAGCTGGGCCACTCACCCTTTGCCCTCCTGGAGTCTGAAACTGGGCTCAGGCATCACTAAAGGCCCTGCTCCCGCCTAGCCTCCTTCAGCTCCCATCATCTTCTGCCGGGTTCCACCCAGTGGCTGTTCCACCTAAGGCCACCCAACACCCCTCCCCGCTTCCTACACCTCTGAGCCTCAGCCCAAGGGTCCTCTCTACCCAGAATGCTTCTGGCCTCCTCAGTGCCTCTTACCCAGATTCTAAGCCCCTCTCAAGTCCCCCCCTCACAGAGCCCCCCAAGAACAGCATGGTGACATTTTCCCCCAGCAGCACATTCATGTGGGATGCCTGTGGCCACTGAGACACCCCTTCTACCACAGGTGAAAGAACACCGCAGCTGTGCGCACATCGTAAGCAAATGTGCTTTTTTTAGGATACTCGCCATCTTTTGGGTCAGATTCTTAAAGGGCTCTCTGGCTGCAGACACGGCGGTGCCCCGCCCCACTGTTTACTGCATCTGTGTTCGTCTCCTCTCTCCCCAGGGGAAGCTGTGTCTCACGCATTAATGAGCCCCTGCAGCGTCCAGCACCATGCTGCCTACAGATGAGTTCATGAAATGAACACGAAACAACTTCAGGAATAAAAGAATGCATGCTTTCATGCCACTGCATGGAAGGACACCGCGCAGCAAGCACATGAGATTCTGCAGACACAGCCAAGGCAGGGAGGCTGTGCACTGCCTTCCTTCAGGAGCCTCTCGCAGGAGAAAGCCCTGTTAGAGGCGCTGTGAGGCCCCCCAGGGGGTGCCACGTCTCCTAAGGCTCAGGGATGCAGGCCTGGGGAGACACGCCCAGCGTGCCCTACCTGAGCAGAGGTGTGTCTCAGTGGTCTCCTGTGCGCCCTGCTGGCTCCTCCCACTTCCTCTCTCCTGATCCAGGACAGAAATCCTGGGGGTGTTTCCAGCTGGCCTGCATCTAAGGGAAAGAAGAAGAGGCCCTGAGGACATCAGGTGTCACGAGCCATCTTTCCTCTCACAGTCTCAGTTGGGACCAGACACCAAAGGGACTCCCAACAGAACTGTAGGTCCCAGCAAAGGCACAGCACATCCTGGGGACGTGTGACATGGCAGCAAGTCAAGCTAGGGGAGCTTGGCAAGTGAAGACGGGCTGTGAGTTGTGACGGGGACGGCCAGCCACCTTCCAGTGCCATCCACCCCCGTTCAACACTAACAGAGCACTTAGTGTCCTGCTGGGCACGCGGCCGTCCAGACTCCAGACCATGTTTCTGGGCCTCCCTGGAAGTAGATGTGCCCCATGGCTGGTCTGAGTAATGGATGTGAGGGGCGCTTCCTCCAGCTATGGGACCTTCGACGGTGGATTCGGCCTCTCTGTGCCTCAGTTTCTTCATCTATGATATGAGGAAACAAAATTGGAATAAGCCTAAATGGGTCAGTGTTTATAAAGCGCACAGGAAGTACTAAATGTGTGTTTACTGGACGAGGAACCAATGTGTCTGGTTAAAGGGAAAGGCATCACCTCAAAGAAATGGGGAAAGGGCACCCCCCTCCCAGCCCATCCCCTTGCTTCCTTCTGCATGGCCGCAGGCTTGGTCATGGGCCATCTCGAACCATGGTAACAAGACCTGGCCCCAGGAAAGGTGGAGCGACAGGCTGGAAGGAGCCTGGGCCTGTGAGCTGCCAAAAAAGCCCCATCAGGAGAGAGGCCAACCCTTGCCGTGTGAAAGCCGTGGGGTTCTGGTTTCGCTGTTTTGTTTTCTTCAGTCTCTGTTAGAGCAGCCAAGCACAGACCCTGCAGTGCCCTCAGGTGGGTAACCTCCAACAGGTGGTCCACCTCACCCATCTGTGCCCACCTCTAAGGCCTATCTTAAGATCAGGGAATAATTACTGCTCCTCTCCCTGCTCCGGGCTTGACATGGGGAGGCACAGTTGTTAAGGGAATGAATAAATGGAGAACATTCCGAGCTTCCCACGTCTCACTGCTGTCCAATCACTCAGTGGCGCCAGCTTTTACGGCTGGGGCACTGCTCACTTCTTTCTGTCGTATATGAGGCACTTCTAACATGGCCACTCTGAAGACCAGCTCAACCTGGCTGCCACACACCAGGCTGGCTCCATGATTAATCAGGACCTCCCTGGAAACTGCTTCAGAGAGAAAGTTGATCAAGTTGTACCAACACAAAAAGATCCTTAAGACATATTGTTGAGTGAAAACAGCAAGCAGCAGCAGATTTGCAGAGTACATCTGCGTGTTCTTAAGCCCGTACTTTTCTGCAGTCCACACAGGTATGGAAATGCATGAAAATAGCTTGAAAGGTTACACAGCAAAATGGTTACGGTGGCAACCATGGGAGGAGCCTAGGGTTTGGTGGGTGGCCAGCAGGGAGCCCTTTAGCTTTGCCCATGACCCTACATTGTTTAGTGAGAACGTATTCGTGTAATCAAAACATACACACTTTCAATGGTTAGAGGCTGGTCAGTTTCTGTTCAGAGGGCTCTCTCAGCCTTGGTTCTCAAATTAACGGCACCAGAATCCTGGGAGGAAAGTGTTGAAAGTGCAGTGCCCAGACCCTGCCCGTACCTCATGAATGAGCACCCCGTTTACACTGCTTCTAGAATCCTGGCAGGAAGAGCACACCTGTGGAAACGTCCAATAGATAAAGTAGTCCTGCACTCACACTCACTGGGGCCTGCAGGTTTTCAGCAAAGGCTTTAGAAGCAGCTTCTAGGAGTGAGGCCCAGTCCTGGGGCTAAACAAAGTTCTCTCCTGGAGAAATCTGGAAAAGCTTACAGAGAGTGGAATATAAGAAGTAACTGCTAGAACAGCAAGGACTACCCAGACCGCAGGGCAACGCCACCCCCGAGCAGGCCTCATTTCTCCACTCCCATGCTACCTCCAGCTGCCGTCAGGTATAAGCCCCATGCCTGGAGCTCTTTGGCCAGGCCCTGCCTGCTGCTCTGCGTCCCCTAGGAGCTGCTCAGCCCTGGGGACTGTGGCACCGGCCACAGCCTCTGAACATGCCCCAGTCCTGCTCACACCTGCTGTGGGGGTTGGGGGGACAGCCCAGGAGCCGGGGTGGCGGTGGTGCCTGGGCCCAGCTCCCCTCCCTGCACCACAGGGGAGGAGGTGCTGGCCAGGCTGCTGCAGTAATAGTGCTCAGTGACACAAGAGCCACTCTCCACCCAGCTGGCCTCTCCTCTTGCTCAGGGCTCCCCAGCTCGGGCTTCTGACCTACATCCTGCCACTCTCCCACACTTTACTCCACCCTGCTCTTTCTGTGGTGCCCCCACCCCCTGTAGGTGTCTGGAAGTGCCACTTTTAGCTTTGGACCTACATGCCAGCCACTCAGTGCCCTTGTCAACCCCCACCTTCTTCCCACTCTGGGCTCACCATGACTCAATTTACCTACTCAAAGAGCCTGCTTCACCAGGAGCCTTTCTCCCCAAATCTAAGAATCTAGGAAGCAAGGAGCAGTTTCTTGGCATGACCCACTGTGTTCTGAGCAACAGCTCCAGGGCTCCTGTCCTTCAGCCAGAATGGCCCGACTGTCCCCCACGTTATATGTTTCTTGTTGTCATTGGAATAAAGGGTTCTCACCTTAAAAAAAAAAAACTGCATTCTGATCCAATGCTATTATTTGAAAAATAGAGAAAACTGAGCCCCTATTCTGGTTCCCTGTTCATTTAATAATTATTTATTGTTTATAATCCCAGTACGTGCCAGGCACTGGGTAAGGTGCGGAGGAGGGGGTTAACACAGCAAGACTCAGTCCTTCACCCAAGGACAGTGAAGCCTGGAGAGGAAGCAGGTATGAGGCTGCAGAGCAAGGACCCACACGCAGGCACTGAGGGCCCTGGGAGCAGACGCAGTGCCAGGAAGGTCTCCTGGAGGCCGCCAGCCCGCCCCTCCTCCCAGAACCCTGCATGCACCACCACAGCCTTTCTCATTCTTGGGTCCCTGGTATCTGCTCTGCCCTCTTCCCTTCCCCTCAGGCCCCTAGAGTGGTCTCAGGCCAAGCGATGGCTCCAAAGGGACATGGAGTGTGGGAAGTGGCCCAGACCCTCTCTGGGTGTCAGAACACCTAGGTCTGGCCCTGCTCGCCAGCTGTGAGGCCCAGCAGCTCATTTCCCCCATCTCGGCCTCTGTTTCTTCAGGAGGGCCTCCTGACACCAGATGCCCTCCTCAGATGCAGTTGGGAGGCCCAGGCCCACCCACACACTGACAGACTCACCAGTGCCCAGGGTCTGGCCCCTCTCCACACTGGGCAGGCTGCAGTTGCCTGCTGGTCTCCTCTCTCCACTGGGGCTAGGAGTTCTGGCTTGGTGGTGGCCCAGCCTGTGGAAAGGAAACGGGCAGTGGCAGGGCTGCCCTTGCAGGCCAGGAAAGGGAGGGCGTTCTGCCAGGTTTGGAGCAGGACTCACTCCCTCTTCAAGGCCTGTGTGTTGAGGGTCATGGAGAGTAGGGAGGGCAAGGCCTCTCAGTCCTCTTGGGCCAGAAGTGAGTGCCATGAGGCCAAGAGAAAGGGTTCCATCCACTGCCCACACAGACAAGTCACCTAGTCCAGACAGATCAGGAAACTGAGGCCCAAGAGAGGGGCTGGCCATTCACAGCAATCAGGGCTCAGGCTTCCTGCTGCCCTTCCTTCCACGTGCTTCCCCTTCCTGCATGAGGCTGGGCAGCCTCCTCACCCTGCCTCCCACAGCACACTGGGACACCCTACTGAAAGAGGAAACTTTATGGCCAGGCAAAGAGAGGGAAGGCACTGTGTTCTGGGCCTCAGCCTCCCAACAGAGGGAGAAAGTGGACAAAAAGCCAACTATTCACCTGCCCAAAGCAGTGAGAACTCCAGTGTGCACAGGAGAGCTTGGGAGTCGGGGCAGCTACAAAACCCAGGTCTGATCAAGTCTCACACAAACACCCACACCTGCCTGAAGGACCAAACTTCCTAGGGCTGGCCCTCATTTTCTGGACCTGGGGCACCCTTAAAATTCATCCTTCTTTGCTCAGCAGGAATCTCCTGAGAACTCAATGTGCAGAGTGCAGCTTGGGAGTCCTAAGAATGCAGATGTAAACCAGGGAAGCTCCCCAGGAGCAGACAGGCTAGTAAGCCACAGGTGTGCACACAGGAGCTGCCTCTGGCACCATGTAAAGGGCAGGACAGTGAGGAGCAGATTCTGGTTCATTTACTCCATGAAACCTGGGACAAGTCACATAACCTCTGCATTTCATTACATAAAACCTCCAAATGAGAATGACAGATACTTCCTACCTTCCTGAAGACAGAGGGCTGAGCAAATGATTTCCCGATGCTTCCTGCTCTCAGATCCAGGAGTCTATGTGACTGAATAATGGAGTGAAACCAAGGTGTGGAGGCCCCCTGAGGCCAGCCTCTTACCCAGAGCCCAGGGTCTCACAGCTCCCCTTTACAAAGTGTTTGCAGAGCTCCTTCTGCAAGTCCTCCAGGCCACTGCCTCGCTGCACCGAAAAATACCCCACGATGCTGCAGGACCCAGAAGTTCCTGTTGCGCAGCAGGTTCTCAACGTTCTCCAGTCGCCTCTACTCCTGCAGCAGGGTCCCCAGCATGGCCCATTTGCCCTCCAGCTAGTTCCCGAACTCCACAGCCATCTTCTCACAGTCGGGCAGCTTCTTCTCGGCTGTCCCCATGCGTCCCTCCAGGCTCGGCAGCCGGGCAGCCTGGGACTCCATCTTCTTCTCCATGGCCTGAATAGCAGCCATGGTGGCCAGGAGGGAGATCTCTGCAGAACGGATCTGGGCCTCTCCCTGGAGGTCAACCCACATATGCCTGTCCTGGAACCAGACACAAGTTCTCCAGTTGGCCACAAGAGGTAGAGTGGCCCAGAGCCATTCCCAACTACAGGAAGGTCAGGATTATCCGGAATGGAGGAAACATATTCCGAGTGCCAGAGGGCCTTACTGGTCAGACCCCCAAACTGACCTCACGTAATAGTCAAAGACAACAGACACCGGACCCCACAGAACCCCCATGAAAAGAATCCTGAGCCAAGACCCAGGGCCAATGGAAAATGACATAACAAACATTACCTTCATAAATGGACAGAGAGTGGATCCCAGCTTTACCACTCACTGGCTCTGTTAGCTCAGCCAATTTCTCAACCAACCAGGGAACACAGCCAGCAGCAAGAGCCAAAAAGTGGTGAGAAACCCAAGTCCAGAATGCCTGCCAGGGGCCCTGGGGTCCAATGCACACCCAGGCAGCAATCTGAGTCCTCGCCTTCTTCCAGAACAAGCCCACACCCCTCAGTGGGCTCAGAGGGGAGAAAGGCCTGTTGTTCTGCCTTGGTGATCTCCAAGGCCTGTCCACCCTGACATCTACTGGTGTGACTTCCTGCCCTGCCTGACACCATGTCCACATGATCCAGGTGCCTTGTTGACCAGCCCCAGGGTGGTCTCCACCCTCCTAGCTGCCAGGCAACAGGGGCCAGAGAAAGATGAAAGCAGAAAAGGAAAGAAGGAACCATTACAAGGAATACCCTGTTCACAAGAGGTGGAAAAGTATTGTGTATTGCTGGAAACCAAATTTAAAATCCGGGAATCCCTCAGTGGGCAGCAGTGGAGGTAGAAAGGGAGCGTTCCTGGAAACGGAACTCACCTAGAACTTGATCTGTGAAAGCCGTGTTGCCTCCTCTGGGCTCCACTTCACTGCATCAGGAAGAGGCCAGACTTGAGGATGGTGAGCCATGCTGTAAGGGGAAGGAAAGGGCCAGGTGTCTGGTGTCTAGTACCTGGTATGTGTGCGACACTTTGCTGAGTACATTTACTGGGGAGGTCTCTAAAAAACTCAGTTGCACAGAAGTGGATTAATCAGTCTTGGGTTCATAAAACACAGTCAGATCACTGGTCCACAGCCTTTACATTTGTTTTTAAGAATATAACATGTGCTAATGTCACACACCCTGAGTGCTCTTCCATCTCTCAGTGCATTTCATCCACACAGCCACCTTAGGAGTGAAGGAAGTTAGGATGTCCCCATCAGTGAGAAAATAGAACCTTAGAGAAGTAATGTGGCCTTCACAGCTTAGGGGCAAACATCCTCACCTCCCTGCAATGCCCTGCCACAAATGTGGACACGGAAATGAGTCCAAAACCACTGCAAAGCTATTTCTACTAGGAGATGACCTCTCTACTTCTAAAGACCTGTGAAAATCTCAACAGCTCTTATGCAGGCCAGCAATGGCCTGGGTCAAGCCTGAGCCTGAAGCCCCTAACCAAAAGTCCTCACAATGCAGATCCCCTCAGCAGCAGCCAGAAGGACTTGGCAGGGAATTCTGGCATCAGAAGCCTCCTGAATGGAATCAGAGCTCAGGTCCAGAGCCCACCTCACAGCCAGGAGACAGACTCTGGCTCCACCAGACTACAGCAGACATCCCTCCCCAGGCCATGGCACTGATCTCAGCTTGGAGAGAGGATGGGAGCAGGATGGATCTTTCTCAGATGGCCGACTGGGGGTGGAGGGGAGGGGTGCCAAACGGCAGGTCCAGAAAGAGGAACCTTGGAGTCTGGAATAAAGATGTCCTCAGTCCACTGCCCCCACAGAACCGGGTCCAGCGGATATCAGGGCTGGAGGGAACCTCCAAATCTTGTGTTTAGGGCCAATTGCATTATTCCACAGGTTAGGAAATGGGGAAAGAGAAGGGAGTTTATCATTTGGCCTTAGGAGTTCTTCTCCTCCTGCCACCCAGACTGAGCCTCTCCAGTTCCAGGAGGTGACCGGGCTGGTGGGGGGTGGGATATCCTCCTGACGAATTCAGGACTCGGCTCTACGTCCCCACACTTCCATGAGGGTCGCCCTTACTGGAGGCACAGCTGCCTGGACCATGGCCCTGTGCTGGCCAACCTGGGCAGGGAGTCGCCGCTGCCATTGCGCGCACGTGGCGTCACACGAACCCAGCTGCGCAGTCCTCTCCGCTGACAGCGTCAGCCCTGCTTTCCCTGAATGGACCGAGTTTCCGGGACCGCTGGGACTCGGGACACTGACAGAACGAGCCCGGGCAGCGGCTGTGCTCGAGGCCGAGAGGGTTACGACTGGGTAGCCGCCCCGCCTCCCGAAGTCAGATCCCCATTGACGGGGCTGGAGGCTCCGCCCCTGGGCCAGCGACCCAGTGCGGACTTTCATCGGCCAGCCCTGGAGGCCCCACCCTCACACAGCGTGCGCCGGGGTTTGTGCGCACCCGGCAGGTGTGAGCGCCCGGCCCCGGGCTGGTGCCCAACAGCCCGCAGGTGTCACCAGCTGCCACTGCCCCGCACGGCCATTCACCACCCGGACAGCAGAAACCAGATCATGCACACACAGTCGTTTATGCCAACAAGTTTACTGATCACCAGTTAGGGCAAGGGACTTCCACCTTCACAGTTCTCTTGGGCGTTTAACGCCGTTGCCTACCCACTTATTTCACCAATGAGGAAGCTGAGGACCCTGCAGGGGGAGTTTGGGGCCCAACCAAGTCTCCCACCGAGTCGGGGGCACCCTCAGCTCCTGCACCACAAAGCTTAGGTTGACTCATTTCAATGTAAAGAACGTTAGTGAAACACCTCTGAGTGCTAGGCAAACTCATAAGGCCTAGCTCAAAGTTGAGCACACTGATATGAAAAAAAGAAAAAAGGAGAATCAGCACCTTGTGATATTTAAGGAGGGGCACCTGGCATTAGAAAAACAAGCCCAATTCAGCAAAAATTTGGGGTATACAAATTTTAAAAAAAGAACAAGGCTAGAAACTCAGCAAAATTCTTAGCCTGAGATCTCCCCAGAACACCTGAGACTAGCTCCTGCCGCTGCACTCGCACCACATCCTGTCTGAGCTCTTGCTGACAGCCCGCCTCTGACTTGTGAGGCTCCCAGCAAGGGTTGGGGGACTCCAGAGCAGACAAGCAGGATCCAAAGCACAGAAGAGCAGTGCCTCTTCCCAAACCCAAGAAAGCCTGGCTGAACTATCACTGACTTGTGTACTTACCCTCTTCCCAGAGATGACAGCAGGGCTACCATCAGCCCCCAACTCTGCTCAAGACTTTGGGAGAAGAGTGAGGGTCAGAAGGGCAGGCAAGGAAGTGGTACAACCAGGGACCGAGGCCCCCAGAAGCAGCCGTAAAGGCTGGCCACTTCTCAGTGCCAGACAAGACTGTAAAGTACAAGGATGGCTGGGGTCCCATCACTCCAGCTTCAGAGTCACCCACACCCAGGCTGCTCTACAGGCAGCACCCACAGTGGTGATGAGAGGCACCAGAAGCTAGCTGACCTCAAGACATCTCCATAAGACCTCATATTATTGCCTGAACTTCTACAGCCCGAGTCTCATACTTTGGTAAGAATTTGTTCACTGAAATACAAAGGACTCCTAGGGAACGGAGCCCTGTGGGAGAGTCTTTCACTGAACCCAGTGGAACTGCCACTCACTCCAGAAGATAAAGGTCCTTCCTGAGGGATTCTGACTGGTGGGAAAGGCTGCAATGGAGTAGAAAGGAGGTCCTGAATTTGAAAGGAAGCACAAAGCTAGGTTTCCTATTTGTCCCAGTGCCTCTTAATTTGACCCTGACAACTCAGGCATGACACTGGGGCCATGACCCCCTTTGACAGAAGACGATCATGAAACTAGCGGTGACTGAAGGGTTCACCCAGATCTCCGAGCCCGACTCTGCTCCAGAGCCCAAAGTGCTCAAAGGAGAACTCCTTCGAGAGGAGACAGCCCCTCCTTTAATGTGAAAAGCAGGCCTGGAGATCCAGGGTAAAGGTGGGCCTCAGCCAGACCAGGGGCCTCCTCTAGGGGAGGAGCTTCCTGGGCTCTCCCTGCACTGCCCCTCAGGGTACCTTCTGGAGTCCAGTCAATACATCTTACACACCAGTGAACACTGAGCCCTTGGGCGGGGGGGCAAGTGTCGCCCACTCCAGGCTTCAGTTTCCCCTCCCAGCTTACAACAAAAGTAAATCACGGATGTGACTATCCCATGGGGTAAGGACTAGGAATACTGGGAGTCACTCTGGGTAGAGAAACACACACCTGGGGAGATACTCTGCTTCCAAGACGGCGGCCAAGACATCCCCATCAAAACCCACAGGCTGCGCTGCGTGCAGTGGTTCACCCCTGTAATCCCAGCCCTTCAGAAGGCCAAGGCAGGTGGATCACCTGAGGTCCGGCGTTCAAGACCAGCCTGGACAACATGATGAAACCCCATCTCTATCAAAAATATAAAAATTAGCCGGGCATGGCGGCTCATGCCTGTAATCCCAGCTACTCAGGAGGCTGAGGCAGGAGAATCACTTGGACCCAGGAGGCAGAGGTTGCAGTGAGCTGAGATTGCACCATTGCACTCCAGCCTGGGCAACAAAGGGAAACTACATTTCAGAAAAAAAAAAGGAACCACAGGCAGTAGAAGCAGCTCCTCTTCCAGCCCTGTGAGCCCACATGGAAAAGCCCGCTCTTTCCAACTTCACAAAAGGCAAAGTTCCATTAGCAACTAAACACATTTACAAAAGCACTTGAAAGTCTCTGTATCAAGGGAAAAAAAGTTTCAAAATAGCAAAGTAGAAGACTTTCCTTTCTTCAGGCCATCCATCCACTCTACTGTTTCTCATGGTGACAGCAGGCAAGGGATCTCTGCACAAAACAAAAATCCCTGGTCCCCAACGTCTCTATAGCCCCCATACTGGAAGGGCCATGATCTCTGTCCTCTTGGCTGTGGTACCTACCAGAGGCCCCATAAAAAATAAGGCCTCCCTTAAGCCTTAAGGACTCTTTTACAAGTCAGGAATGCAGAAAAGGCAGCAAAGAGTGTAAACACGAGAGAGGAAACAAGGCACCTGATCACACACACTGTCACCGAAAGGGTGGCTGCTTCCCATTTGAATGGGTAAAAACAACAAGCCTCTCTCCAAACCATCCCAGGAAGAGGAGGAACCTGCGTTGGGCACGGTGGGCAGGCCCTGCCAGGAGTCCCCTGTGGGTTCCTGTCTGGTCAGCCCTCCTCCGTGCGGCTAGGCCTGGGCAGGGGCAGGCAAGTGTGGGCCCGCCTGGCCTCGGGCGTGGGTCTGCATGTGCACAGCTAGGTGGTGGTTCCGGTTGAAGGTCCGGCCACACTGGGGGCACTGGTAGGGCCGCTCGCCAGTGTGGATACGCTGGTGGCGGAAGAGGTCCGAGGGCCGGCGGAAGGTCTTGCCGCAGTAGGGGCAGGCAGGCCAGCCCTGGCTGCTGCCGGTGTGCAAGCGCTGGTGCAGCAGCAGGCTCTTGCGCTGCTGGAAGAAGCGTAGGCACTCGCTACAGTGGTACATCTTGCTGGCCACAGGCCGCCGCACCGCCAATGCGCGGCCCGCAGCCACAGAGCGGCAGCTCTTGGGGTCCTCTGGGAGCCAGCGAATGACAGGGCCGGGCACCACCACCTCCCCCGGCTCCAGGGTGGCCTGGCTTTCCCCGCAGTCAGTGGGCGAGCGGCCGGAGGCCTCCCGCCGCCCCTCCTCCACGTGGGTCCGCTGATGAATTGTCAGGTTGATCTTCAGGCGGAAGCTCTGCCCACAGTCGGGGCAGGGGAACGCCCGCTCCCGCCGGCGGGGGAGGACTCGGGACGTCTCCCCATGGGGCCCCAGTGGCCGTGGCTCACCCGCCCGCGTAGGTACGCCCTGGGCCTGATGACGGCTGGGGCCCCCACGCCTGTTCCTGGGCCCTCGGGGGATTCTACACTCAGTCTGGCTCCGTGACACCCCCAGAAAGAGCCGCTCAGGCCTCATCTCGTCTTCGGACTGTGCCTCTGTCTTGATGGCCACACCACCACCTGGCAAAAGGAGTCTACGTTGGTTTCCAAGTAGACCTCACCACCCTGTCCCCCAGGTCACTCGGCCCAGTCCTGGCTTCCAGCCTCAGCCCAGGCGCTGTCTCCCCACAGTGCTCACAGCACACTGCAGGGGTCCTGCTCACTGAGCCCCACCACACAGGCACTGCCTCACACTGTCACTCAGTCCTGATTGTTGTCATCTGCCTCATTCCTGGAGGCCAAGCTAAGGACATCAGGGAGGGGAGATCACGCTACAAGGCCAGGAGCCAGGGAGCCTAGAAGTCAGGATCACCTGGAGTGAGACACAGAAGCAGAGACCCTGGACACAGCAGAAGCTGGCAGGACCCCACCCCCAAGTGTTCTGATGACACTAGTTACCATCTGTGAAAGACAAAGAGCCCCAGGGGCCCTGGCTGCCCCCAGACCACCCTAAGAGGCCTCTGTGGACTGGGGTGGTGAGTACTGCACCTGTGCTTAGCTGCTCATCCACATGACAAATCTGCATAGAGTGTCCGTGACCTGCCTGCACCACACTCACTGGTGACAGAGAGTACGCGTTAGGACCTGAGATTCCTGCCTGGGTCTGTGTGGGTCTCACTCAACTCCCAGGTTGGATGGAGCCAAGGAGCTGCCAAGACAGCAGTGACAAGAACAACTGAGGCAGTGGCGGGTGGTCACAGCAATGTGCTGGAGACCTTGGACCCCAAGTTTCAGCACCCAACTCTCAGGGGTCCCTAATGTGAGGGAAAAAGGGTCCTGGCACTGCACCCTCTCAGGGAAGCTAGACTCTATGCAGGGAAACACACACAGACTGTGGGCCTGAGGGGCTGCGAGCCTGGCCACGCCAAGACCATATGAACAGCTTTTCCATCATTATCAGACCACGTGTGTAGGGTCTGATGCCTGGGTTTTCATGCAGTGCCTTTCCAGCCAAGTCAGACCAGAACACAATGGGGAAAGACCAGGAAGGACCCCAGACTGATCTGGGTCCCGACAGTCCCCAGGGAGATAGCAGCTGGAGAGGGAGGGAGGGAACCCTCAGGAGGCCCCTTATCAGGTCCCACCACCCAACCCCACCCCACTCCCAAAAGGCTCCCACGCTCCTGTGGGGCTCTGCTGTGGCCACAGGTGCCTCTGCCCTTCTTCCCTGGCCCTGGGAGGTTTTCAGAAAGAGAGCATTTACTGAGAAACAGCACCACGCTGGCACCATGCCAGGCACAGGACACACATTGTCCAGTGACCCTCGTAAGAACCCTGGGGAGGCCCAACACACCCCTCTACCCCCTCCTCTCACCCTGCTGGACTGGTGTTTCCAGGCTCCCAACACATGGAGGAACCCACCCCTCTATTGCGACTGTTCTCATGATGAAAATGCCAAAACCTACCTTCTTTTAGGCTTGTCTCAAGGGCCCATTCCCCAAAAAGCCTGTCCAGCCCAGCCCAACCAGGCTCCCAGCCATCTCTCCCATAACTGCGTGCTGCCTCGGGACTCTGTTCATCCTGCCGCCTCGCTGTCCTCACTCACCTGCTCCCAGCCTGGCTGGGGCCATTCTGGCCTCAGAGTCCTGCTGCTGCTTGGGGGCCTGCCCTTCTCTCAGCTCCTCCTGGGCAGGGCTGAGTGGGTTGGTGAGGTACTCCGGATATGGAGGGAGGCCTGGAGAACGCAAATCAGTGACACTGAACACAACGTGGAGGTCTCCTGCCCGAGTGACCAGGGACCCTCTAGGGAAGGCTAATGACAGAGTCACTGGGATCCTGGGGTCTCAGTTCCAGCACAGGGCATGATAATAAGGTGGACCCCACTGAACACCTGGCAACATGTCCCAGAGAAGGAAACTGCAGCACAGGAATTCCGCAGACAGGAATTCACAGTAATGATAGCCAGGCAGGTCATGACAGAATCTGGCATTTTAAGGCAGGAAGGAGAAACCCCATGCCTGTCCCTCCCCTCCCCCTCCATTCCCCTCCTCCTCCTCTTCCCCCTCCCCCTTTTCTGATTCCCCCTCCCCCTTCCTCCCTTCCCTTCCCCCTCTAAGGGCATAAGGGAGACCCAAGGCCAGGCAGAAACACAACTGAAGATATGGCTTTAGGAACATCGAGGCTTCCCCCTCAGCATTTGTCTTTCGAAGTACTCGATCCTAGGCTACTCCTTAGGGCTCAAGTCCACACACAGGTTTACTCAGCGCCCACCTCCCAGAGTGACTGTAACCAATCCAGCTGTTAGCAAGGCTTTCAAAGGGTAAAGCCCCAAAATGAGCACGTGTCCTCTCACACAAGAAATGAAGCTCTTTTTTTGCGGGGGGGGGAACAGAGTCTTACTCTGTCACCCAGACTGGGGTGCAGTGGTGTGATCTCGGCTCACTGCAAACTCCGCCTCCTGGGTTCAGGCAACTCTGTGCCTCAGCCTCCCCAGTAGCTGGGATGACAGGCGCCCGCCACCACACCCAGCTAATTTTTGTATTTTTAGTAGAGACAGGGTTTCACCATCTTGATCAGGCTGGTCTTGAACTCCTAACCTCACGATTCACCCGCCTTGGCCAAACTACTAAGATTACAGGCGTGAGTCACCATGCCCAGCTGAAGCTCTGATTTCTTTTTTTTTTTTTTTTTGAGGCGGAGCTTTGCTCTTGTTACCCAAGCTGGAGTGCAATGGCGCGATCTCAGCTCACCGCAACCTCCACCTCCTGGGTTCAGGCAATTCTCCTGCCTCAGCCTCCCGAGTAGCTGGGATTACAGGCGTGCGCCACCATGCCCAGCTAATTTTTTGTATTTTTAATAGAGACGGGGTTTCACCACGTTGACCAGGATGGTCTCGATCTTTTGACCTCGTGATCCACCCGCCTTGGCCTCCCAAAGTGCTGGGATTACAGGCATGAGCCACCGCGCCCGGCCACAACTCTGATTTTTTTTTTAAGCAAAAAAAGATGATGAGAAAAAAACTAAGACCAAAAGGCTAACAGTAAGAGAGCTGATGGAACGCTGCCGTCAGAGATGAAATCAGGAAACGGCTCACAACGTTTGTCCACTTGGTGTCAAGAAGGATTTGAAATCAGATGGGCGTCAGATCAGAAGGGAATAGACAAGAAACCCAGAATCATGGAAAAAGTGACTCTGCCTCCAAAACCAGGTTTGAATTTACCACGTCGGATCTTCCTGAACTTAAGCCTCCAGGGAACAATGCTTTGTCCTAGTTGGCAAAGTCCCAGACCTCTCCAAAAATGCCCCTTCCATTGGTTCAATCAGGTGAAGACCCCACACAGCCCGCTGGCCTCCCGTGCCCCCAGATGAATAAAGGGAAGCACAGGCCAGGAAGGGAAGTTCACTGAAGATTACTTCGAAAGAATGGCAAGAGAGACGGCAGCAATGTCTCCCAGAAAATGCCATGAGCCCAGCTATTACACACAAGAGTATACCACTCAGAACACAAAATAAAGAAAAAATAAATTCTAAAATAAATGTAAAAGTTCACCTGTGAAATGACGGGAATTGAGAAAAAAAAAAAAGAGTAGTCCAATGGTAGTGACAACCAGTGCCCCAAGAAGGCAAGCGTCAACTAAAGGGGGATGAAAGAACTGGACTCCCAAAAACAGGCCAGACACGGTGGCTCACACCCGTAATCCCAGCTATTTGGGAGGCTGAGGCAGGAGAATTAATTGCTTGAACCCAGGAGGTGGAGGTTGCAGTGAGCCAAGATTGTGCCATTGTACTCCAGCCTGGGCAACGAGAGAAACTCTGTCTCAAAAACAAACAAAAAAAATTGGACTGCTAAAGTTCCCGGGTTTCAGCTTGATAATCTACAAATCTTTTTTTTTTTTGAGATAGAGTCTTGCTCTGTCACCCAGGCTGGAGTGCAGTGGCGTGATCTCAGTTCACTGCAAACTCTGCCTCCTGAGTTCAAGTAATTCTCCTGACTCAACCTCCCAAGTAGCTGGCATTACAGGCGCCCACTACCACACCTGGCTAATTTTTGTATTTTTAGTAAAGACAGAGTTTCATCATGTTGGCCAGACTGGTCTCAAACTCCTGACCTTGTGATCCATCCACCTCGGCCTCCCAAAGTGCCACACCTGGCTAATTTTTGTATTTTTAGTAGAGACAGGGTTTCACCATGTTGGTCAGGCTGGTCTCGAACTCCTGACCTCATGATCTCCCACCTTGGCCTCCCAAAGTGCTGGGATTACAGGCGTAAGCCACTGTGCCTGGCCTTATTTTCTTTTTAAAGTGGACATATTCTGAATACAGGTTTCATTATGGGAGTCAGGAGGACAAATGTTTACTTTCATATTTTCTCTGTAAGTAAAAGGGCTGATATATTTTGAATAGAGTGGTTTTTTAAAAAAAAAAGTGTGTGGTGGGGGGGGCAGGTGCAGTGGCTCACACTTGTAATCCCAGCACTTTGGCAGGCCGAGGCAAGGAGATCACCTGAGGTCAGGAGTTCAAGACAGCCTGGCCAACATGGTGAAACCCCATCTCTACTAAAAATACAAAAATTAGCCAGGTGTGGTGGTGTGCCCCTGTAATCCCAGCTACTCAGGAGGCTGAGACAGGAGAATCACTTGAACCCAGGAGGTGGAGGTTGCGGTGAGCTGAGATTGTGCCACTGCACTGCAGCCTGGGCAACAGACCAAGACTCTGTCACACACACACACACACACACACACACACACACACACACGAGAGCGAGAGAGAGAGATTCTGGCTCTTTAGGAAGTCCCGGCTCAGAACCCTACAGTGGGGGTTCCCAAGCCCAAACCCTGTACTAGGCTAGTATAGCAGTGTCCCCTGGGAGCACCTCTGGGAATCTCATCAATAGGTTCAGGTGGGCCTAGGAAATATGCATTTTTTTAAAAGATTCCTAGAGCAAAAAAAAAAAAATAATTCACAAAATAAGAAATTTAAATGGCCCTTAAACATATTTTTAAAAATAGGGCCAGGTGCAATGGCTGATGCCTGTAATGCCGCCATTTTGGGAGGCCAAAGCAGAGGATTGTTTGAGGTCAGGAGTTTGAGACCAGCCTGGGCAACACAGCAAGACCGTCTCTACAAAAATTTTAAAAATTACCAAGCATAGTGGCATGTGCCTGTGGTCCCAGCGACTCACGAGGATGAGATGGGAAGACACTTGAGCCTAGGAGTTCAAAGCTGCAGTGAGCCATGATTGTGCAACTGCACTCCAGCCTGGGTGACAGAGTGACACCTTGCCTCAAAAAAAAGGGGGAAGGGAACAAAATGGTCGAACAGAACCCTCAGTGATTATCCCCGCAACAGAAACACCAAATTCAACACTTTCAAAAAAACCAAAAAGCAGATAAGCAGTCACAGTACTTGGTCGTAACATCATATGAAGGAAAGCAGCACTGAAAAGGGTAGGAAAGAGTCTTGAATTGCAAATACCAACCCTCCTCCATCCCCCAGCAACAGCCACGTGGCACCAGAGAATGTGTGCTCTTCAGGCAGGAAGAGTGCAGTGATTGTGGGACTTTGCATCGGGACTCGGTGCTGCCCTGTCACAGCAGAAAGCAACACCAGGCATAACCTAGCTGGTACCAACCCACAGAAGGAGCATTTAGAACAGCCCTAGTCGCAGACAGGCATGGTGGCTCATGCTTGCTATCCCAGCACTTTAGAAGTCTGAGACGGGTAGATCAACTTGGAGCCAGGAGTTCGAGGCTGGCCTGGCCAACGTGGCGAAACCCTGTCTCTACTAAAAATACAAAACATTAGTCGGGCATGGTGGCACATGCCTGTAGTCCAAGCTACTCAGGAGGCTGAGGCACGAGAATTGCTTGAGCCTGCAAGGCAGAGTTGGCTAAAGTGCTCCGGGGTCCTAATAAGGTAGTCCAGGCCACAAGGACTGCAGTTCCTGGGCAAGTCCTGGTACTGGGCTGGACTCAGAGCCAGGGTACTTGGGAGGGCAGGTGACCCAGTGAAACATCAGCTGAGACAGCTAAGGGAGTATTTGTGCCACCCCTCCCTCAACCCGGGCAGCGCAGCTGACAGCTCCAGGGAGACTATTTCCTTCTGCTTGAAGTGAGGAAAGGGAAGAGTTAAGTGGACTGTGTCTTGCAATTTGGATACCAGCTCAGCCCCAGTGGGATATGATACCTGGCAGAATCCTCAGGTCCCCATTCCAGACCCTAGCTGTCAGATACATCCTGGGCCAGAAGGGAACTTGCTACCCTGAAGGGAAGGACCCAGTCCTGTGTGGATCCATCACCTGCTGATTAAGAGCCACTGCACCCTGAGTAGACAGCAGCAGTACCCAAGGGGTAATCACCCTAGGCCTTGGGTGAGACTGAGGGACATGCTGGTTTCCGGTGTGACTCGGTACATTACCACCTGTGGCAGCTATGGGGAGAGACTCCCTCTGCTTGAGGAAAGCAGAAGGAAGAGGAAAGGCGATTATTTTGTATCTTGGGTACCAGCTAAGCCACAGTGAGGCAGAGAACCAAGTAGGTTCCTGAGGTCCCCAATTCTAGGCTATAGCTCTTGGATGTCATATCTGGGCCAGAGGGAAGTCCACTGCCCTAAAGGGATTCACCACAAGCTGACTGAAGAGCCAACATGGTGAAACCCCGTCTCTACCAAAAATACAAAAACTTAGCTGGGCGTAGTGGCACACACCTGTAGTCCCAGCTACTGGGAAGGCTGAGACAGGAGAATCACTTGAACCTGGGAGGTGGAGGTTGCAGGGAGCCAAGATGGCGCCAGTGGACTCCAGCCCAGGCAACAAGAGTGAAATGCCAACTCAAAAATAGAAAGAAAGAAAAAAAGACTGATGATCACAAAAAGAGAGACAACCAGACCTCTGTGCCTTCTGATGTGACACAGGCGCACGCAGCACTACCTCTGACATAGTCTTGCCAAAGAAATTGAACCTAAAGTTAAATAAGCCTCTAGATTTACCTACCCATTTATAGGAAGTGCAGGAAATAAAAGAACCATTAAATAACACCAAATCTAAACTGTGGGCATTAAAAATGACAATGAAATGTCAACGAGTAGATTGCATTAAAGGGGGAGTCATCCAGGCCAAGGCAGGAGGATCACTTGAGCTGAGGAGTTCAAGACCAACCTGGGCAACACGGCAAAACCCCGCTGCTACAAAAAATTAGCCCAGGGTGGTGGCATGTGCCTATCGTTCCAGCTATTCGGGAGGCTGAGATGGGAGGATCACTTGAGCCCACGGGGTCAAAGCTGCAGTGAGCTGAGATCATGCCACTGCATTCCAGCCTGGGTGACAGAGTGAGACCCTGTCTCAAAAATAAATAAATAAATAAATTGGGGGGTGGGGGGAATTCATCAACTGACAAAGGAACAAACAACATGTGATGTATCTTTATGATGGAATATCACTCAGCCACAAATAGAAATGAAGTACTCATACATACTGCATGTGGGTGAACCTTAAAAACATTATGCTCAGTGAAAGTAGGCAGGCACAAATGCCACATATTGTATGATTCCATTTTTATGGAGTTTCCAGATGGGTAAATGCATAGACACAGAAAGCTGATCAGTGGCTGCCTGGGGCAGGGCAACAGGTGGGCAGAGGAACAGACAGTGACTACTAATAGGTATGGGATTTCTTTCTGATGGAACAAGAAAGGTCTAAAATTACATTGTAGTGATGGCTGCACAATTTGTGAATACACTAAACACCACCCAATGATAGGAAGTCCTAGGCAGAGCAATAAAGCAAGAGAAAAATATAAAAGGCATCCAAATAGGAAAAGAAGTGAAATTTTCTCTCCTTGTTAACAATGATTCTAACTAGAAAACCCTAAAAACTCTGTCAAAAGGCTACGGGAACTGATGAACAATTTTAGTGAGGTTTTAGGATACAAAATTAGTGTACAAAAATCAGTAGCATCTCCATACAAGAATAGTATCAGGCTGAGAGTCTAATCAAGAACACGGTCCCATTTACAATAGCTACAAAAAGAATAAATACCCAGGAATACAGCTAACCACAAAGGTGAAAGACCTCTACAGGGAGAATTATAAAACGCTGTTGAAAGAAATCAGAGATGACACAGATAAATTTTAAAACATCCCATGCTCATGGATGGGAAGAAACAATTGTTAAAATACCCATACTGCCCAAAGCAATTTATAGATTCAATGCTATTCTTATCAAACTATTCATATCATTCTTCACAGAATAAGAAAAAACAATTCCAAAATTCATATGAAACCAAAAGAGCCAGAATAGCCAAAGCAATGCTAAGCAAAAAGAACGAAGCCAAAAGTATCACACTACCCAACTTCAAACTATACTATAAGGCTGTAGTAACCAAAACAGCATGGTGCTGGTACAAAAACAGGTACATAGACCAATAGAACAGAATAGAAAAGTTAGAAATAAAGTTGCACACTTACAACCATCTGATCTCAGACAAGAGTGACCAAAAAAAAAAAAAAGCAATGGGGAAAAGACTCCCTTTTCAATAAATAATGTTGGGATAACTGGCTAGACACGTGCAGAAGAATGAAGCTAGACCCTTACCTTTCATCATATACAAAAAGTAACTCAAGAATGATTGAAGATTTAAATGTAAGACCTTAAATTCCATTTGACCCAGCAATCCCACTATTGGGTATATACCCAAAGAACTATAAATCGTTCTTCTATAAAGACACATGCACACATATGTTCATTGCAGCCCTGTGTACAATAGCAAAGACCTGGAACTAACCCAAATGCCCATCAATGACAGACTGGACAAAGAAACTGTGGTACATATACACCATGGAATACTATGCAGCCATAAAAAATGATGAGTTTGTGTCCTTCGTAGGGACTTGGATGAATCTGGAAACCATCATTCTCAGCAAACTGACCCAAGAACAGAAAGCCAAGCACCGTATGTTCTCACTCATAGGTGGGTGTTGAACAATGAGAACACGTGGACTCAGGGGAAGGTGCATCACACACGGGACAGTTGGGGTGGGTAGAGGAGAGACAATGCGGGAGGAGGGATAACATGGGGAGAAATGCCAGAAATAGTATGCACCTAAAGTAAAATAAATAAATTATTTTTTTAAAAATTCTAGAATAAAACCTAGGAAATACTCTCCTTGACATTACCCTTGCCAAAGAATTTCTGGCTAAGCCCTCAAAAGCAACTGCAACAAAAACAAATATTGACAACTGGGACCTAACTAAATTAAAGAGCTTCGACACAGCAAAAGAAACTATCAACAGAGTAAACTGACAACCTACAGAATGGGAGAAAATATTTGCAAACTATGCACCTGACAAAGGTCAAACATCCAGCATCTATGAGGAACTTAAACCAATAAGCGCAAAAAATGGGCCAAGGATATGAACAGCCATTTCTCAAAAAAAGACATGCAAGCGGCCAACAAACATGAAAAAATGCTCGCCCTCACTAATCATCAGAGAAATGCAAACCAAAACCATGAGATACCATCCCATACCAGTCAGAATGGCTACTATTAAAAACCATCACATGCTGGCGGGGCTGCAGAAAAAGGGAATGCCTGTACCCTGTTGACGGAATGTAAATGAGTTCAGCCACTATGGAAAGCAGTCTGAAGATTTCTCAAAGGACTTACAACAGAGCTACCATTTGACCCAGCAAGCCTATTACTGGGTATATACCTGAAGGAAAATAGATCATTATACCAAAGTATACATGCACACATATGTTCATCACAATGCTATTCATAGACATGGGCTCGACCTGGATGTCCATCAATGGTGGATTGAATAAAGAAAATGTGGTACATATACACCATGGAATACTACATAGCCATAAAAAAGAATGAAATCATGTTCTTTGCAGCATGCAAAGAACTTAGGAGGCCATCATCCTAAGTGAACAAATGCAAGAACAGAAAACCAAATATTGCATGTCCTCACTTATAACTGGGGCCTAAACAATGAGCACACATTGACATCAACCCGGAAAAGCAGATACTGTGGACTACTACGGGGGAAGGAAGAGAGCGGAGCATGGACTGAAGAACTAACTCGGGTACTATGCTCACTACCTAGTGCAATATACCCATGTGACAAACCCGCACGTGTATGCCTGGATCCAAAATAAAAGTTGAAAATTTTTTAAAAGTATTTAATTGTACACTTTAATAGGTGAATTATATAGTATATGAATTATATCTCAATAAAGCTATTGAAAAAGAGTGAGGGGATTTTTCATAAGTTTTTTTAAAGACTTCAGAGATGTAAACCAAATGTAAAATGTGGACTTAGGTATGTAACAGTTAGGATCCAAAGCCCTATAGAAAACATTTTTGAGACAACTGGGGAAAACAAAACAAAGGCTGGATATTAAATGACATTCTGATGTTCCTCGGGTATGAGCATGGTATTGTGGTCATGTTTAGAAAAAGGGAAAAAAACAGATGGATGAAGCGAATGTCACAAACCCAGAACAGTGTTGGGTCTGGTGACAATCACTTGGAGATTCACTGTACTAGCCTACTTTATTTTTTTTAATTTAATTGAAAAAAAAAAAGCCCCCCAGAGGATTGTGATGTGCAGTCCTTTGGAACCACTGTCCTATTCAGCAGCTACAAGGACAAGGCATGCCTGGCGCTCCTGCTGAGGGCCCATGTAGGCAAATGGAAGAAGGACATGACAGGCCTTCCTGCTGCAGGCTGGGGCTGTGGGACTGCAATTGGGGGCAAAAGCAATATCAGGGACATAGACACACCTGAAGATGCCAGGAGGCAGTAGAGCTGCTGTGGAGATATTATCATTACTAAGACCCCACTATGATAGAGTGATCAGTGTTACATGCTTATCATTCGTCACGCAGTCAACACAACCATGTAAGGTGAGTGTGATGGTCCACCTCAGACATATGTAGAAATACTATGGCTCTCAGCCTGCCAGCCACTCTTGCCCAGGGCGGCCTGCTACAGAGTGGCCCCACTTTGGGTTAATGGCCTATGCTCCCTTCTTGGCCTCCCTGATTGTCTGGGAAGCCTGAGAGGATGGGCTGTGGTGCCACTGGCCCCTGGCGCCCCACCACATCTTGCTCCTATACTCACCAGTGCCCGACATCCTTGAATGTGCCACCTCTACTTCACTCCCCTTCTCCTGGCCCCACTGGTCAAGACAAGGCTCCTCTCCCCTCTCTATCCGGGTGAGGATGTCCGGTTTGGAGATGGCATAATCTGTGCACAGAAAAAGAAATGCAGAAGAGCTGGATCCCAGATGCCCACAGAGATGCAGGGATGGCCCAAGTACCAAAAAGCAAAGTGAAGACACAGACTGTCCACACACAACCTGTGCACAGAGGCCCAGAGCCTCCCTCTGCGGCCTTACCCAGGGAGACCAGCGTCTCGTAGTTGCCCCTCATCACATGCTTGTAGAGCTCCTTCTGCCAGTCCTCCAGCTTGCCCCACTCCAGCTCAGAGAAATACACGGCCACATCATCAAAGGTCACAGGCACCTGAAACCAGAAGTGTCGCACTCATTCACCCACACGCTCACAGGTTCAGCCCCTCAGACTCCCACATCCCAGGGCGTCCCAGGGCTACCTTGGGGGCCTCCCCCTTGCTGCCCGGGGGCAGCCGTAGGATCCAGAAGTTCCTGTTGCGCAGCAGGTTCTCCATGTTCTCCAGCCGCCTCTGCAGCAGCCCGTACTCCTGCAGGAGGGTTCCCAGCACGGCCCACTTGCCCTCCAGCTGGTTCCTGAACTCCATGGCTGTCTTCTCACAGTCGGCCAGCTTCTTCTCGGCTGTCCCCGCGCGCCCCTCCAGAGTCAGCAAGCGGGCCAGGCAGGAATCCACCTTCTTCTCCAAGGCCTGAATGGCAGCCACCACTGTCCACAGTGTGATCTCCGTGGAGTAGAGGTACGAGTTCTTCTCAGCAGCTGGCTGGGGCAAGGGAGGTATCGAAGGCCTCTGGTCCTCTGTGTGCTTGCCTGTCATGGGGGCCTGCTCACAAGAAAAAAGAGATGTTATGAGAATCATACAATCAAAACTTCCATCTCAAAAAGAAACTTCAGAAATGGCACCTGCCATGGTAAAGCTCCACCTGGGATCCTGAGTTAGCAGCAGACTGGGGGTAGATGGAGAGGCTAGGGTATCAGTTAGGAATCCAGCCTAAGTGACACAAGTGATAGTGGCTGGACCAATGTGTCAGCAAGTGGGAACTGGAAGAAACACAGCCCGCCGCTGTCCTATACACTAGCTATGGGGATGGGGCATGCCCCACTTGTTTGAGCAAGTCTCAGACAAGTGACTCCCCTTCTAGGGTACAACACACTTAGCACAATGTGTACCACGCTATGAATATTAAACGTGAGCCCCACGTCGAAGGGCTAAGATGACAATGATTGTTATGGAATGAATGTTTGTGTCTCCCTCAATATCCATCTGCTGAAGCATTAATCCCCAATATGCTGGTATTTGGGGGTGGAGCACCTAGGAGGCACTTAGGCCATAAAGGTAGAGCCCTCATGAATAGGATTAGTGTCCTTGTAAGAAGAGACACAAGGGAGATGATCTTGTTGTCTGCCATGTGGGGACACAATGAGAAGGCAGCCATCTGCAAACCAGGACAAGAGCCCTTGCCAGGAGCTAAGTAAGGCAGCCTGAGCAGACTTAGACAATGACGTGGATGACGGTGACGGTTCTGGCTCAGGGATCTGGTATATAACTCATGGCCTTTTTTACCACGACCTCTTTGATTCCATTGTCCTTTAGTGCCTTAGAAAAAGCTTCTCAGGTGCCTCAGCTGACCCTGGTGTCTGATTCACGAGCCCTCACTGTGCACATGCAACGGCACAGTCCTGGCTGGTGCTCCTACAAGCCTTGCTGGAGAGGCAAATTGACATCTCATCCCTCCATTTCATTCATCCTTCACAGTTAAATCACCACTAGGTCCTAACCTCAAAATTACCTCAAATCCATCCATGTTTCTCCTTCTTCACTGCCAGTGTCTAGTCCAAGTCCCCATTACCTTGCTTGGCCGGAGTCACTGAGGTCCCACCCACCTGATTTCCCCACCTCCAGCCTTCTCCCGAACAATACACTTTCCACAGAGTGAGTGGTAATCTTTTAAGAACACAGGCCAGGCACAGTGGTTCACGCTTGTAATCCCAGCATTTTGGGAGGCTAAGGCAGGCAGATCATGAGGTCCAGAGTTTGAGAACAGCCTAGCCAGCATGGTGACACCCCTCTCTACTAAAAATACAAAAAATTAGCCAGGCGTGGTGGTACATGCCTGTAATCTCAGCTACTCAGGAGGCTGAGGCAGGAGAATCACTTGAACACAGGAGGCGGAGGTTGCAGTGAGCCGGGATCGCACCACTGCACTTCAGCCTGGGCCATGGAGCGAGACTCTATCTCACATACATACACATACACACACACACACAGATCATTTCAGTCTCCTGCTTAAAACTCTTCAATAGCTTCCCAGTGTAGCTAGCATAAGATCTAGACTTCTTCATGGCCCAGTTGACCTCTCTTGACCTTAGAGTCATCCAGTTCGTGCCAGGCTCCAGCCATGCCAGCCTCCTGTGGATTCTGAGGGCCCACTCAGCCCTCCTCCACCTTCACATCAGCTCTCACTATGCATCCTCTGCATGTCTGAATTCCTCTCATCTTTAAAATTCTAGCTTAGACACTGTATCCTAGAGGCTTTCACTGCTCTTCTTTCTTAGCATTAACAATCTATAATCACTTCACTCATTCAGTAACAATTACTGAACACCTATCATAGTAAATGTACAATGAAGATGCAGAAAAAACTGATGTGGTTCTTCCTTCTCCAGCATAAAAATTCTGTATAGAAATACTTACAAATAACAGTGTGACTGGATGGGCTAACGAGTCCAGAGCAAATCTGTCCCTTTTGGGGAGTTTCTTGGATCTCAAATGCTGCAAGGCTCGAGAAAGGAGCAGGTGGACAGAAATGATCAGAAAGGTAGTGAAGCAGCGAGACCCAGGCTAGGCGGAGTGGCTGATGTCACCTTCCAGGGCCCCCTCTTCCCAGGGAACAGGGCTATAAACCTCCAGAATCCCCAACCTTTTTTTCTCCCTTACACTCAGGGAACCCAAAAAGATGTTCACCACACTCACTCACTAAAGAGGAGGGAGAGGAAGTTCTACTTTAATAAAAGTATCCAGAAAAATCAAGGTTTCAAAACCTTCAGTGAGGTGTATTAATAATTGTAGTTATCATCTATTGAGCTCTTTACATCGTTTTTCCAATATGTCAAAAATACCCAAAGGACTATATTCTCCCACTTGGACATAGTGCACAATATCAAGCCAACATTCTAAAATCTGCTAAACTGGCCTAGCTCGGTGGCTCACCCTTGTAATCCCAGCACTTTAGGAGGCAGAAGCAGAAAGTTCGCTTGAGCCCAGGAGTTCAAGACCTGCCTGAACAACATGGCACAAATAAAAAACAAAGCAAGTCATTCTTGGTGATTCACGCTTGTAATCCCAGCACTTTGGGAGGCCGAGGCAGGTGGATCACTTGAGGTCAGGAGTTCAAGACCAGCCTGGCCAACATGCTGAAACCCTGTCTATACTTAAAAAAAAAATTATATATATATATATATATATACATATATGTATGTGTGTGTGTATATATATATATATATATATGTGCATATATATATATTTATTTATATGTAAAGAAGTCAGGCACCCACACCCAAAACCCCAACTACTTGGGAGTCTGAAGCAAGAGAATCACTTGAACCTGGGAGGCAGAGGTTGCAGTAAGCCAAGATCATGTCACTGCACTCCAGCCTGGGTGACAGAGTGAGACCCTGTCTGAAAAAATATATATATAATATACCTATATATATAGTTTTTAAATTTTAAAATGGCCAAACACAGTGGCTCACACCTCTAATCTCAGCACTGTGGGAGGCCAAGGCAGGCAGATCACAAGGTCAGGAGTTCGAGACCAGCCTGGCTAACATAATGAAACCCCATCTCTACTAAAAATACAAAAATTAGCCAGGTGTGGTGGTGGGCACCTGTAGTCCCAGCTACTTGGGAGGCTGAGGCAGGAGAATCGCTTGAACCTGGGAGGCAGAGGGTGCAGTGAGCAGAGATCATGCCACTGCACTCCAGCCTGGGCAACAGAGCAAGACTCTCAAAAAATAAAATGAAATTTTAAAATAAAATCTGCTCAGTAATCTTTTTTTTTAATCTGTAATCTCTCTTGTAAACAACACTTAATATCTTTCTCTTAGGTAAAAGTAGAATATAAGGCGTTTTAAAGTGGTCTAATTCCAAAGTCCCTGCCCCGGTGTGAGGCTCCTGCCTCTGCTAGATGCGTGACCCGGAGCTAGTCCCTTCCCATCTCAGCCTCCTCGAATGTCCGATTCTGCCCCTGCCCGCCCTGCCTGCCGTGGGGGAGCCTCGGGGCCGCAAATGGAACAATGCATCCGAGGCGCGGCCTCCTCGTCGCCGAGCGTGACTCTGGCGCGGGGCCTGGCAGAGGCCGCAGAGGGTCCGACAGGGTCCTCCGTCGCTGACGTCGGGGGGCGTTTGGGCAGCCCGGTCAATGCTATCGGAGGCCGGCGGGCAGGCTGCAGACAGACCTCAAGCCCTGACGCGGGTTGGGCGATGGGCCGGGGACGGCGAGCTTGGAGACTGCGGGCAGAGCCCTTTCGCCAGGCGGCCGCGCGCGGCCAGAGTCCCTCGCGCGGGCTCACGCGGCGGCGGCCTGGGCCGTCCTGGAGTCCGCCCGGCCCAGGGCGCTTACCAGGGCGGGCGCCGCTTCGGCCATGGCTGCTCGCGTCCCTCGCGCGGCTGCAGTACCTGGAGCCGGCCTGTCCGGCCCGAGACGGCGAGACGGCGACGGCGGAAGCGAAGCGGGAGCCGCCTAGGGTGGGAGCTCCTGCCTGGCGGCCGCGACAAACCACATGCCCCGCTGGCCCTTTAAAAAAACAGCTGCGCTCGGCGGCGGGGCCCGAGGACCCGCACAGCGCCCCCTGCAGCCCGTAGGACCGCAGCCCGCGGCCTATAGCGCCCGCCCAAGGCCTTCAGCGCCCGCAGAGTCCGGGACCCAGGTGCGGCCTCCCAGCTTCGCCCGGCGCGTGGGAGTCGACGCCGGGGCGGAGTGCCATCAGGCGGAAGCCACTCCGGGGCCGGCGCGGCGCCCAACCCCTCTCCGCGTGCCACGCGGGAGCCGAGAAGGCTGGGGGAAGGAGCAGCGAGGGAGAGCTGCGTGGGGAAGCGGGGCGGCCCTGGCCGGGGCCTCCTGTTGCAGCGCCTCCCACGCACCACGGAACTATGAGTCGGAAAAAGAAAAAAGGGTACATGGGTACTCAGGGAGAAGCCAGGGAAACTTAAATAAACGTTTTAATCTCTCTTTTTAAAGTTTTACAGAACAAACGTGAAGATTGTAGGATTTTTTTTTTCCTAAGCTTGGCCTCCCCTCCTGGGGGCTCTGGGGTCCCTTCCTTCTTCCCGGGGCCCGACCAGGAAAGCCCTCAGCCACCCACGGGGACCCTACCGTAGCTTTGGTCCAGGCTGCGGACACCTCAAGTGTCAATCAGTCTTTCCCTGGTTTAGGCCCTGAGGCGTCTTGAATAAACCCCAGCGCCCATTTTCCTCGGCTTGTGCTGAGGCATATTCAGCTAAATGTGCTGTATGCAGTTGAAGCTTTGTTTTGTCTTTTCTGCATTTCCCATTCATCTCACAGTCTTTGTCCAATAAGCTGGCAAACTCTTCCCACTAGAAATCTGTAATTTTGTTCTTTCCGCGTTTGGGTTTGTTCAGGGTTTTTTGGTTTTGTTTTTGTTTTAGCTTTTTCTTTTTTAGGGGGATGAGAAATTATTTTCACAAATATTTGAGCCAAGCAAAAGTGTGGTTGGCTATCATAGAAAAAAGACAGAGACCCTAAGTGAGGTGCACCCCTAGAATTTGGGAAAAGGTTAGGACGTGTTACTTTAAGGTAACAAATCAAATCAATATCTGGCATTATTCATTTTGGAAATTCTTGTTGAAATATCCCAACCTGGCCGGGCGCGGTGGCTCACACCTGTAATCCCAGTACTTTGGAAGGCGGAGACGGGTGGATCACGAGGTCAGGAGATCGACACTATCCTGGCCAACACGGTGAAACCCTGTCTCTACTCTACTAAAAATACAAAAATTAGCTGGGTGTGGTGGCGCACGCCTGTGATCTCAACTACTCGGGAGATGAGGCAAGAACATCGCTTGAACCCGGGAGGTGGAGGTTGCAGTGAGCCCAGATCGCACCACCGCACTCCAGCCTGGGCGACAGAGTGAGAATGGGTCTCATTAAAACAAGAAAAAAGAAGAAATATCCCAACCTAAGCCACAAACAAAACTGCAAATATGCACTAAAAACATTAAGAGCAACTAGCATCTCATCAGGGATCCGCCCAATCTATTAAGGATTATAAAATAATAGTTACGGTCCAATGCAAACAGAAAGGGTCAGGAAAACAAGCTGGGTGCAGTGGCTCAGGCCTGTACTCCCAGCACTTTGGGAGGCTGAAGCGGATGGATCACCTGAGGTCAGGAGTTTGAGACCAGCCTGGCCAACATGGTGAAACCCTGTCTCTACTAAAAAATACAAAAAATTAGCTGAGTATGGTAGTGAGCTACTCGGAAGCTGAGACAGGAGAATCGTTTGAACCCGGGAGGCAGAGGTTGCAGTGAGTCGAGATCGCACCATTGCACTCCAGCCTGGGCAACATCTCAAAAAAAAAAAAAAGAAAAAGAAAGAAAAGGATGAGGAAAATGGACTGGAGCAGAAAATGCTAGGGTTTAGTGAGCTCTGTTCAGGGAAGACTGCTATAATGTTTCACAGCTGGTCTTCATTTTTTAGAAAAAAGTTTCTACAAATTTGAGTGTGCACCATGTTCACTGAGGGTGCTGTTAAGATACAGAATGCTGGCCAGGCGCGGTGGCTCAAGCCTGTAATCCCGTGAAACCCCGTCTCTACTAAAAATACAAAAAATTAGCTGGGCATGGTGGCACGTGCCTGTAATCCCAGCTACTCAGGAGGTTGAGGCAGGAGAATTGCCTGAACCCAGGAGGCAGAGGTTGCGGTGAGCCGAGATCGCGCCATTGCACTCCAGCCTGGGTAACAAGAGTGAGACTCCGTCTCAAAAAAAAAAAAAGATACAGAATGCTAGGCACAAACCTCAACATTTCTAGGTCCGAAGCAGGAGGGAACGAAAGTGATGTGAATTTGCAATTCTAACTAGTTCCCAGGTAATGCTGGTTTGATTGGTCTGGTGACCAGTTTGAGATCCGTGGCACTGTTTATCAGGATCCCACAGCTGCCTCCCATTCCCATGCTGATTTTATAAATATATTTAATAAGCAATCAAACTCTTTGCACCATAATGTGGTTTCTAAGCAGATCAGCCAGGGTGTCAAGCCAGCTGTAGCTCTGATATAAATTTAAATTCCTTTTTTTTTTTTTTTTTTTGAGACAGAGTTTTGCTCTTTGTTTCCCAGACCGGAGTGCAATGGCACGATCTCAGATTACTGCAACCTCTGCTTCCCGGATTCAAGTGATTCTCCTGCCTCAGACTCCTGAGTAGTTGGGATTACAGACTCCTGCCACCATGCCCAGCTAATTTTTTGTATTTTTAGTGGAGACGGGGTTTCACCATGTTGGCCGGGCCAGGCTGTTCTCAAACTCCTGATCTCAGGCTATCCACCCACCTTGGCCTCCCAAAGTGCTGGGATTACAGGCATGAGCCACTGCACCCGGCGTACATTCTTCTTTAATTATTAATCTGTCTCCATGAGTTTGCTTTTTGGGGGATCAGATTTCCAGAACCTGAATATCTCTGGGTGAACTGACAACATCCCAGCCTGTGGAGTAACAAGTGGGACTCCACCAAGGTGCAAGTCACTCTGAAACAGCCAGTCATCAGCCTCCGCTGCAGGTGGGGTTCTCACAGTTTGGGCACCAAAGTAGCACCTAGCATCACTCAACAGGAGGTCAGCACACTCAAGTGCCAGTACTGCCACCAGAACATCCTCAGCCAAGAGACAGGGGCAGGTCAGAGACAGAATTCTGTGGCTTCCTCATCCTGCAATCCAGGAATGTAATTTAGATTAGGAGGTGGACCCACACAGAAAGTGTTAGGGGCCAGGCACCGTGGCTCACACCTTTAATCCCAGCACTATGGGAGGCCAAGGCAGGTAGATCACTTGAGATCCGGAGTTCAAGACCAGCCTGGTGAACATGGTGAAACCTTGTCTGTACTAAAAATACAAAAATTCAGCCAGGTGTGATGGCATGTGCCTGTAATCCCAGCTACTGGAGAGGCTGAGGCAGGAGGATCACTTGAACCTGGGAGGCAGAGGCTGCAGTGAGCAGAGATCATGCCACTACATTCCAGCTTGGGAGACAGCATCAGACCCCGTCTCAAAAAAAAACAAAAAAAAAACAAAAGAACATGTTAGGAATAGAAGCATTAGTACAGGGAGACCCGAAGTACGACCAAGTCATCCTTCCTCCATAGAAGCCTTCCCTATTTCAGACAACACTGAGCTTCCTATTGTACTTTTTCATTCAACAGATGTTTGCCGAGCATCTATGTGCCAAGCACCTGTGCTGAGAGCTGTGGAGGCTGACGGGATTCACACATGGTCCCTCCTTTGCACAACACCACATCCTGTGACTGTTTCTTGGTCTTGTCTGTTGCTTCCTTCCCACTGCAGCTGCACCCAGTCAGTCAGGTAGGTCCTCACTGGCTCTTCCTTGGTCTCACTCAAAACCTTTTAACATACCCCATGCCCCAACCCCCCAAAAAATTACAATATAATCCTAATTAGTATTCCCAAATCACACCTAGAATCAGATTACTCTTTTGCTCAAAATTCTTCAGCTCCCCATTACCAACTCAATAAAATCCAGACTCCCTGAAGCCTGACCCAACCCTAACACTCATTGCTCTCTTCTCAAACCCCACCCTCCCCAAATTGGATGAACTCCTCTTCTGTACCTGCCCCATCATGTCTCCTGACTTGGTCATGTTTCATCCATTTAGAATGTCCTTCCTCCCATCCTTAAAAGGCGGTTAATATACCACCTGTCACAAAGCCTTCCCCAATGTCTCAGATCTAATATCATTGTTCTCTGAATCCTTATAGCCTTTTCCCTCACTTATCTGAAGACATTACTATTCTATCCCTTTAGCAGCCTGTAAGTCCAAGAGCAAGATTTATCCTTGTACCCCGCTCTGTAGAATTCTGCACAGGGAGGATACTCAGGTATCTGTGAGAGACCAAACTCAAAGGCAGAATGGAATACTGTGCTCATCTAGGAAAGGGCTTGCAAAGGTGCAGTAAAGGAAGAAAACTGATTTTGAAAGAACATAAACTCATTGAGGGCAAAGATCTTCATTTTGTTCATTGATGTGTATTTAAAAGAGTGCCTAGATAATAGGGGCTCAATATGTATTTGTTCAATGAAAGAAACGGATGAGGGAAGCTTTCACAGAAGGTGCTTATAAACCGGAACAGTGAAAAATAGTGTTTGGTTCAGAGAAAGGACACTGCAGAACGAGAGGGAGCATGGTTTATTCAGTAAGACAGGAGGCTGGACGTGGTGGTTCACAGCTGCAATCCCAGCACTTTGGGAGGCTGAGGCAGGAGGATTGCTTGAGCCTAGGAGTTCGAGACCAGCCTGGGCAACATAGTGGGACCTTGTCTCTACAAAAGGTACAAAAATCAGCTGGGTATGATTGGTGCCAGCTGTAGGGCAAGCTACTCGGGAGGCTGTGATGGGAGGATCCATTGAGCCCAAGAGGTCAAGGCTGCAGTGAGCCATGATGGCACACTCAGCCTGGGCAACAGAATGAGACCCCATCTCAAAAATTAAAAAAAAAAAAAAAAAAAATGAACAAATGACAGAAAGTCCAAGGTAGCAGCAGCATAGAAAGAAAGGAGGAAAAATGCAGAGTGGGGAAGGTTGTCAGAGTCTTGAGTTCTATACTAAAAGTCATTATCAGTAGCTGCTGAAAGCCACCGAAAGGTTTTGAGGAAAGTCGACATCCAGCTGTATGCAAGGACATTAACTCTGGAATCAAAAAGGATGCGATTAAGAGCAGAAGACCTACTGGTTACTGAAAAGCTCGGGTGAATGATGACTAGCACCTTAACTGTGGGAATAGGAAGGACAGAAAAGGCAGGATAGATGAGTCACTAACATTTGATATTTAAGTCTTCCCTGTGTTGACTTCAATTTGTCTAACTTGATCATCCCTGTCCTTCTGACCATCCATTTCCTGTTTTCTCCTCAGCACCCAGCAGAACAGGCTTTCAATGAAGGATGGCAGAAGCAGGCAAGAAGAGGTGAATCTTTCGTATTCCTTAGGACAGTGCCTCTGCATGCACAGAATCGCCTGGAGAGCTTGTTGAGACAGATTATGATTCGGGGGTCTAGAGTGGAGCTGGAGTCTACACCATCACACCCCTAGGGGATGCTGCTGCCACCAGCAGAGCCCACACTTCGGGGAGTAGAATCCAGCTTTGGCACTGAGTTCTTAACTGCAGAAGCAATAGCACCCCAGCTCTGAAGCTAGATAGCCTGGGTTTACATCACCTCTGCCATCTTACTTCACTTCTCAGGTCTCCTCCCACATCTCATATGGAAAACGAGTTAAAACCATACTCACCAAGCAGAACTGCATGAGGATTTCTTTTCATGGAAATAAACAGTGCCTAGTACACGAGTATTCAACAAGTGTCAGCAGGAGTCCAACTGCTTGATACAATTATTTCCAAGCCTCAAGGAAAACATAACTTTATTGGAGACATAGGACCATATTCTGTGCTTCACTTTTCCCCACTATACAAGGCCCAAGGCTGGTCACATTAAAACACTCAACAACCAGGAAGTAATAACAACTAAGGACGAGATGGACAGAGGGGTTATCTGTAAGGCAAAGGCTTAAGAATAAGGGAAGACTGCAGAAGAAACTTAGGAAAGAAACTCCGAAGGTTTTCCTGATGAAGCTACCACTTGCACAGCACCAGCCCTACGATGACTCCCTCCACGTTCTCTCTAACAATCCCATACCTTATAGCAGGGGGCCCCAACCCCTGGGCTATGGATCAGTACTGGTCTGTGGACTGTTAGGAACCAGGCCACACCGCAGATGAGCTCTGCCTCCTGTCAGATCAGCAGCAGCATTAGATTCCCATAGGAGAATGAACCCTATTGTGAACTATGCATGCAAGGGATCTAGGTTGTGCATTCCTTATGAGAATCTAATGCCTGATGATCGGTTTTATTCCAAAACTATCCCATCCCCTACTGTCCATGGAAAAATTGTCCTCCACGAAACCGGTCCTGGTGCCAAAAAAAGATTAGGGACCTCTGCCTTATAGTGAACAAAGTTTCCTTCTATTTATTTGTCCACCCTCCCCATGGAAAACTATAATGTCTCAGACATGTCACCTTCGGTCTTAAGTGTTCTTACAAAATGTTTTATGTGCATGCATTTTTAATTTATATAAATGATGTTATATTGTAGACCTCAGTTTCTTACCTTTTCCCCTCAGCATTGTATTTCAACGGATCCAGATGGCTACACATATATCTAAGCCAATGTTCGTAACAGCTGCCTGGCACTCCGTGGGGTACCCACATTCCACCTACTCTTTCTACTTCCCAATAGCCATCACACAGACTGTCTCCAGCTCTCTGCCATAAGTACAGTCCCCTGTATATTCTGACCACTGAATATTCTTGTCTTTTGTCCTAGGTTTAATAAAACTGCAAGTTAGGCTGTGCCATCAGTCCTTCCCTGTCATCACTGCAGATCAGGTGCCTCTTCTCCAACTTGGCCCCAGGAAAGTGTTTCGACAAACAGAGAAAAACATCTAGTATGAACTTTTTTTTTTTGCTAGTACAAGTTTTATTCTAGGCAACTGCAAATCATCCAAGGGGATGTTCACAAATGACCCCAGAGCCCACTCCCATCCCCCCAGACAGCAGCGGGGCACACATTCAACACTCCTGAGACAAGCATCTGTGTGCTTTTTCTCTACCTTCTCTGGAATAGTCAATCCCAGAATGAATTTGGAAACTATAATCTGAACCATCTCAAGTAAGGACTGGTGTAATAGGAACAAACTCAGCCACTGGTACGAGGTGAACAACCTTAAGTGACAAAGTAGTCTTCTACTCCAGGAGGCTGCAGAACACAGCAAGGAGGAGGTGGGAAGAGGAGAGGCGCCTGCCGAGACACCGCAAGTCCCAGACCACAGCCACACCATCGGCCACTTCACTGGACTCTTTTCTTCTCAGCAGGGGCTGCGGGGTCTATCCCTCCGACTCTTTTCCTCTTGGTCCTTTTGAGACAAGCACCCCACAAGGGAATCTAGCACTGTGTCCCCTGCTTCTGGCCTAAGTAAGCATTGGTGGGCTAAAAGAGCCCCATTAACAATTCCCTCCTAGAGGGTAGGCCCAGTCCCCAAGTTAGGAACAACTTCTACAACTCTTAAAATGTAAAAAGCAAGTGTTGGGCTGTGTTCTTTAAAAAATCAACTAAAATCTAATTCCAAAAAAGGTTCTTCAGAGCAGGGTAAGCATTTCATTTAAATTATTACTTCTACTTGTTATTAACAGAGATTACAAAACAAGAAAAAAATGGAGGGTTACACTTCCCAAAACTCTTCCAGGCAGCTGCTCAACCCTGACCCAACTCAACCCTGTGGGAAGATGTGAAATTCCGGGACAAGCCCTGGAAGCAGCCACCAGTCCCTGTGGGGTCAGAACACCAACCCCAGCCCACAAGCATCAGCATGAATAAGAAAACCAGAGACCTGAAGGTGCCAAGGAACAGCAAACTCAGCAGCAAGGTAAAGACCTGGGCTGGACTCTTCTTCCACAGGCTTTTCAGGACAGCCTCTGAGCTTGGCTTGGTACTGGGACAAGGGAAGGCAAATCAGAAACAACTGCCCTCAGGAAGAAGTCAGTTCCTGACTCAGCAGTCTCTTTGGGGGAACCAATGCCACCCCCCTCCGCCCCCCGGACGGGCGAGGGGCTGCACCCTTAGAGCAGGCCATTGGGCCTTCCGGGCTCCCCGCCCCGCTCCCGCTGGTGGATCTTCTGGTGCTGCAGGAGGTGCTGCTTCTGGACAAAGCTCTTCTCACACTCAGTGCAGCTATAGGGCCGTTCACCCGTGTGGATGCGCTGGTGCCGCACCAGATCAGACGGGTGACTGAAGCTCTTGCCACAGTAACCACAGATGAGGGAACTCCGGCTTTTCCTCCAAGGGATGTGGCCAGGCAGGGCAACCAGACTGTTGGGTGAGAACCTCTCCTGGACATGTTGGCTGGCACTGGGCCCTTCCTGCAGATGGCAACGCTGATGGGTCACCAGGCTCACCCTGCAGCTGAAGCTCCTCAGGCACACGTCACACTGATGCAGCTTGGCCTTTTTGGTCTGTGGTTTCAGCCGTGGCCTGGACCTAAGGCTCTCTACTGGCTCCTCAGGTGTACAAGACTCCCACCCTGAGTGGCTGCGCAAATGTGTGGCCAGCTGTTGCTTATAACGGAAGGTGATCTCACACTCAGAACATTCGTAGGGGCGGGAAGTGTCCTTTTTCAGCTTCAGGCCCTGCCCACATTCCTGGCCCAGCTGTACCTGCCTATGAGATTTCTGCTTCGGGCAGCCCAAAGTTCTGCCACTGCTAGGATCTCCACTACCAACAGGCTCCTTTAGAGTAGAGTCCCCAGGACTTGTTTCCAAGAGGACAGAACCACCCTGACCATCCCAGAGCTCAGTCTGCTCCGGGCTCAGGAAAGCCTGCTCTTCAGCAATGCACGAGAACTCTCCAGGAAGATCCGCAGGGCCTTCCTGTGTATACTGTAGCTCCTGTTTGATCATGACTCCACCTGCTGCAAACAAGAAGACCAACAAAAAAGATCACATTCTAGTACCTTTGGTTTCTTCAGGAACAAACATCTTTGAATTTCAGAAGCACCCCAGGAATAAGTGAATTAGGACAACAAGGAGGATGATGACACTGGCTAGGTTCCAAGACTTACATAAAACTATATTCATGTATAGTTTTTCCAGTATTCACTAGAAACATGAATGTATTACTCTTATAAAACAATACTGTAAATGATAGTTCTCCAGGCTTGTCTACAAGTTTTTACTTAATCCCAGTGAAAAATGTCAGAATACACTATAACAACTATACTAAGAGTATTAAAATAACGAATTTGAATGACTAAAGACAAACTAAACCTACAGCTTAAAAATTCATTTATCCAGCTCTGTTCTTCCTCCATTATCTCCCAAATAACCCACTGACAAGCGCTTTTCCTACACTGCCTTCCCTCCTGAAGCTCTGACATGCCCAAGCTCAATCTCCAGCAGGTTTTGACTACAGCCTAGTATGGTGGTTTATTGTGTAGGGCATGAAAAGAATGATGCGGCATTAGTCTTAAGACCCCAGAGGGTACTGGGTACTGGGAGCACTGGCAGGTCCCCGGGCACAGGGGGCACTGGTAGGTCCCCGGGTACAGGGGGCACTGGTAGCTCCCCGGGTACCGGGAGCACTGGTAGGTCCCCGGGCACAGGGGGCACTGGTAGCCGCTGGTACTCAGCTGAGTGCCTGGCCGAGACTTGCCCCCACCAAATGGGATCCATCTCACTCAAGTTCACATCCCTTCCCAGGGACAGTGTGGGAGCCCTCTGCCTCAATCTGGGACAACTCAGAAGGGCCATCCCAGCTCCAGAATCCTCCACGGGGCAGTTGAGGCCTTTGGTGCAAATGCTTCACGGCCCTTCCCCTCTGCTCGGTGCAGCTTGCTTCCACTGAGGGGCCAAAGCTAGAGGCACAGACTCACCAGCTGGGCAGAACCTTCAGGTGAAGGTGACAAAGGCTGCCGGAGGGCAGACCATAATGAACAAGGGATAGAACCAAGGGATAGGCACATATAACAGCTGAACTAATGACAATCATAAAGATGAGTCCAGAACGAACAAATGCCAGATGAAGTTACCAAGTCAGCATCTGACAGTTCAGCAGTGGGAAAGCTCACTCTAGGGCTATGGGAGGGGAACAGAATATTCCAGAATACTCCACTCACCTGGGTGGGCACCACCAGGACCTTCCTCCTCCAAGTCACCCAGCATCCCTGTACCCAACTCTGCTTCTCCCTCTGGCTGGCCAAGGACCTCTGGGTGGGAAACAGCACAGTGTGAGCCCAGGAGAGAGCAAGAGCTCACTGCACACTGATCAGCTGCCAATGACCAAGGTGATCAATGGCAGGGAGGAAATGCCGAACTTCAACAGATTCAAAGGCTGCTGTTCTTGTCAGCTTCCCCTAGCAGTTTGGGACAATTATAAAATTCTGGCCAATCCTAATAACTCATTTGGCTGGCGGGGCTGCCTCCGGTGCTCCTCCTTTAGAGGGCCTGTGGCTCAGGCAGGCAGGCAGGCTACAGAGCCACGCTGCCCTCAACAGCACCACCACCCACCACTGCCTCTCCATAGGCGTGCAGCTTAAGTCTTGCCAATGCTTCCTTTCAGGGGATCTAATTTCATCCTTGCTAAAGCACTGCAAGGTAAGATGGGCACTGGGACAGACAAGGATATAGTCACAATTAGAGCATGAGACCCAACCAAGCTCACAAGGCCACTTTCTGGCCCATTTTCTACTTCCTTTACCTCTTACTCTGCTCTAGGCACAGTGGCCTTCGTTACTTGTTTGGGGGTTTTTTTGTTGGTTTGTTTTTTCAGCTAAGAGTCTTGCTCTGTCACCAGGATGGAGTGCAGTGGTGTGATCTCATCTCACTGCAACCTCCGCCTCCCAGGTTCAAGCAATTCTGCTACCTCAGCCTCCCGAGTAGCTGGGACTACAGATGCATACCACCACAATCAGCTAATTTTTGTATTTTTAGTAGAGACGGGGTTTCACCATGTTGGCCAGGATGGTCTCAATCTCTTGACCTCCTGATCCACCCACCTCGGCCTCCCAAAATGCTGGGATTACAGGCATGAACCACCATGCCCAGCCAAATGGTCTTCCTGACGCTTCTCCATATAGTTAGGTTTTAAAAGACTTTGTCTACCAAACAAAATGTATTTATTATGTAATAGGTAACATTTTGCATATAAAGATTTATATCTGGCTGGACACGGTGGCTCATGCCAGTGATCCCAGCACTTTGGGAGGCCGAGGCAGGAGCAAATAACCTGAGGTCAGGAGTTCAAGACTAGCCTGGCCAATATGGTGAAACTCTGTCTCTACTAAAAATGCAAATAAAAAAAAAAATTAGCTGGGCACGGTGGTGGGCACCTGTAATCTCGGGAAGCTGAGGCAGGAGAATTGCTTGAACCCAGGAGGTGGAGGTTGCAGTGAGCTGAAATCGCACCACTGCACTCCAGTCGGGGCAACAAAAGCAAAACTCCATCTCAGAAAAAAAAAAAAAGATGTATACCTATTAAGCAGCACTTCTAATCATTAAGAAATAATCATTGAGACCACAATGACCAGCTTTAATTCTGGCCAAATGCCAAGAAAATCAAGAAAAAGCTTTTGATCAGCCTGTGCTGCCTGCCTCCTCCAAGGTAACATAAGCTTTCTTGTCAAATTATCTTTTTTTTTTTTTAAGTAACAGAGATCTCACTATGTTGTCCAGGCTGGTTTCGAACTCCTAGCCTCAAGCTATCCTCCCACCTTGGCCTCCCAAAGTGTTGGGATTATAGATGTGAGGTACCACACCTATCTCAAATAGTCTTAAATATTAAAAACAGCATGAGGGGCCAGGTATGGTGGCTCACGTCTTTAATTCCCATACTTTGGGAGGGCAAGGCGGTGAATCACTTGAGTCCAGGAGTTCAAGACCAGCCTGAGCAACATAGTGAGACCTATGTCTCTACAAAAAATTTTAAAAATTCGCCAGGCACAGTGGTATGTGCCTGTAATCCCAGCTACTTGGGAAGCTGAGGTGGGGGATCATTTGAGCCCAAGCTGTCAAGGCTGCAGTGAGCCAAGATCGTGCCACTGCACTCCAGCCTAGGTGACAGACTCAAAAAAAGAAATGACAAAACAAAATAAATTTAAAAGCAGCATGAGGAACCCTAGCCATATCACACTGTGGTGAATGTAACACCTTATTTTTAGAAAATACTATTGCCAGCCACAGTGGCTCATGCGTGTAATCATCCCAACACTTTGGGAGGCTGAGGTGGGCAGATCGCTTGAAGGCAGGAGTTTAAGACCAGCCTGGCCAACATGGTGACACCCCATCTCTACCAAAAATCACCAAAAGATTAGCCAGGTGTGGTGTGGCATGCCTGTAATCCCAGCTATTCAGGAGGCTGAGGTAGGAGAATCACTTGAACCTGGGAGGTGGAGGTTGTTGCAGTAAGCCAAGATCCTGCCATTGCACTCCAGCCTGGGCGACAGAGCAAGACTCCACCTCGAAAGAAAGAAGAAAAAGAAAAGAAAAAGAAAATACTGTCAAGAATAGACTATGTGACCACAGAAAAGAAACATAAAAGGCACAATGCTGAGAGCTTTCCAAACGTCTCTGTAAATGGGAAGACCTAGAGACTTCCATTTCTCCACCTGTGCGAGCCAACAACCCATGGCTCTTGTGGCTGTGGATCCACAAGAGCCACAGGTGTAGTCTGAATCACAAGCTACTGGCCAGGAATCGTAGTATGTCTGAGACAGAATTCTAAGGAGAAAACTGCTACTCACTCAGAGAGACCAGTGTCTCATAGTTACTCTCCATCACGTTTCTGTAGAGCTCCTTCTGCCAATCCTCCAGATTCTCCCATTCCTGCTCAGTGAAACAGACGCCATCATTCTCCAGTGACCTGGACACCTGCAATCACCAATGGCACACCATGAGTGCCTCTACTCACAGCTATGACAGAAGAGCCAGCAATTGAGGTCCTTAGATATTAAAGGGCTGGGATCCCCCTTCTCTCCTAACTTTTAATTCTCAATGAGACTACCTTGGGGGCCTCCCCCTTGCTGCCTGGGGGCAGCCGCAGGATCCAGAAGTTCCGGTTGCGCAGCAGGTTCTCCACGTTCTCCAGCCGCCTCTGCAGCAGCCCGTACTCCTGCAGCAGGGTGCCTAGCACAGCCCACTTGCCCTCCAGCTGGTTCCCAAACTCCACGGCCATCTTCTCGCAGTCAGCCAGCTTCTTCTCAGCTGTCCCCGTGCGTCCCTCCAGGCTCTGCAGCCGGGCAGCCTGGGACTCCATCTTCTTCTCCACGGCCTGAATAGCAGCCACTACCGTCCACAGTGAGATCTCAGTGGTCTGAAAATAGGAGCTTTTCTCTGTTGCTTGTGAAGGAAGTGTGGAAGAAGTTAAAGGTGTGGAGCGTCGTTTTCTCCTGTGCTGAAGGATCAAAGACACAGAGTCAGACAATGTTACTTCCAAACATGAAGTAAAGAAAGCAACATTCAAGTGTATCAGTGCTCAAAGCTATCTAGTTTCTTCTTTAACAAAAAAAGCATGTCTTTTATTGATACTAAAAACTACATGTAGACATTGTATTAATAACACTGTTGGGAAAATGCCAAAGAATAGAAACAAAATACTACACAAAGTATTCTCACACAGAAATAAGCTGTTAGGGCTAGGCACAGTTGTTCACATCTGTAATCCCAGCACTTTGGGAGGCCAAGGCAGCTGAATCACTTTAGCTCAAGAGTTTGACACCAACCTGGCCAGCAAGGCAAACCCCGTCTCTCCAAAAAAATACAAAAAAATTAGCCAGGCATGATGGTACATGCCTGTGGTCCCAGGTACTTGGGGGCTAAGGTGGGAGGATGGCTTGAGCCCAGGAGGAGGTTGAGGCTGCAGTGAGCCAAGATCGTGCCTCTACACTCCAGCCTGGGTAACAGAGTAAGACCCTGTCTCCAGAAAAAAAAGAAAAGAAAAAGCTGCTTGATTTTTCGTGTATTGCCTATAAGCTTTTCTCATGTTTTATTTTTTTGAACAAAAGTGAAATTATAGTATGTTTTGTTATCTGTTTTATGCTTAGCATATTCTGTGAGACTCCTGTATCAGTGTTCGTTTTTAAACCTATTTTTATTTAATGTTTTGGACAATATGATAAAAGATGTCATTTACATCTTATCTTGCCTCCACATCCCTGCCAGACTTCATAGTTGATCACGTCATCCATTTGAAAACCCTTCGATGGCTCCCCACAATAAAGACAAAATTCCTTAGCAGGACCTACGAGACCTAATTCATTCATCTTTGCACTCTAGCAGCTGGGATGGTGAATAAATCCTTAAAAAATATTTGCTGAAATGATGTGACTAAGTCTACTGACATTTTCCTTAAAATTTTCACTTTAATGAGTTGTCTCTGATAGTAAGAAAATCGCTATCATTTAAGCTACAATTACTGAAACCAACACTGGGGAAGTCTTCCCCAAGCTGTCCCCGCTGTCTCCCTGCACGTTCACATCAGTCCTAGCCCCTCTACAAACCTCATATTCTTTCATGGTGCACACTTTATTCAAGGCTGCTTCTCTAACCACAGTGAGGTCACCAAGACAAGATACTGAGAGGAAGTATCTCCGAAAGAGCTGCTGGAGCCAGGGGTCGTGGGCAAGAGAAACATGGGACCAAAGGAAACTGACTGGTGCAACACTGAACATTTAAGTTTGGCCATGACCTACTCTAGTTACTAAGTCAGTTAATTCATCATGGAACACGTGGGACAAAAGCTTAAATATATCCTCCCACAAAAGATTAAAAGTTCAATATAAAAGACAAATGCAAGTGAAACAAAACAAAACATTAAACTGCATAATGCATGCCATCATGTTTGTTTCACTTTTGCAGTAAATCTGCGAGTCTCCTCTTTCCTTTCTGTGGCCCAGCATTCTGTGCTTACTAGCACTTTTTCCTGACAGGAACGTAGGTCAGAATCTGTTCAAAGGATTGATCCCCCTCCTCCTCCACATAGTAAAAGGTTGAAAACAATGGTTAAACTAAGTTTCTTCCTTTCTTCTGTTTTGAATTATCTAGCACGATGGGGAAATTTTGAATGTTCACTAACCAGTGAATGGATAAAATAATTGTGATCCATCTAATATTATGGGTTAAATTATGTCTCCTCAAAATAATACAATAAACCCCTAATCCTCAGTACCTCAGGATGTGACCTTACTTGGAAATAAGGTATTTCCAAGGGAAATCAGGTTAAAATGAGGTCATTAGGGTGGGCCTTAATCCAATGACTGATGTCCTTAAAACAGAGGACCTTTAGATGACACACACAGAGGAAAGACAACGTGCAGACTCACACAGGGAGAAGGTATCTACTATGGTTTGTCCTCACCAAAACCCATGTTGAAATTTTATTCCCAGTGTTGGGAAGTGAAGCCTAGTGGGAGGTATTTGGGTCATCAGGGCAGATCCCTCATACATAAATTAATGCACTCCCACAGGGGTGAGCTGTCATTTGCAGGAATGAACTAGTTCCCACTGGAGTGGGTTGTTAAACAGTCTGACTTCCTTGCTTCACTCTCTTGCCTCCTCTGTCACCATGTGATCTCTACACATACCTGCTCCCCTTCCATTTTCTGCCGCGAGTTTAAGCAGCCTGAGGCCCTCATCAGACACAGCTGCCCAATCTTGAACTTTCCAGCCACTAGAACTGTGAGCCCAATAAATCTTTTTTATTGCCCAGGCTGGAGTGCAATGGCGCGATCTCGGCTCACCACAATGTCTGCCTCCCAGGTTCTAGCAATTCCCCTGCCTCCACCTCCCGAGTAGCTGGGATTACTGGCATGGGCCACCACACCCGGCTAATTTTGTATATTTTTTAGTAGAGACAGGGTCTCACTATGTTGGTCAGGCTGGTCTTGAACTCCTGACTTCAAGTGATCCACTCACCTTGGCCTCCCAGAGTACTGGGATTACAGGCATGAGCAAACTTCTTTTTTCATGAATTACCTAGCCTCAGGTATTCTGTTACACCAATACATAACAGGCTAAAACAAAGGCCATGTCAAGATTAAGGCAGAGACTGGAGTCATGCTGCCACAAACCAAGAAAACACATGGCACCACCAGAAGCCAGGAGAGAACAAACCTCATAAGGAACCAACCCTGCAAACATCCTGACTTCAGACTCCTAACCTCCACAACTGTTAGATAATACATTCCTGTTATTTAAGCTTCTCAGTTTATTAAACCAGCCCTAGGAAACTGATACACTACAACAGACTTTATTATATGTTTAGCATATTTTACATATATAGTTTAGTAGACTACTAAGCCTACTACTTAGTAGACTACTATTTTGACTACCAAGTCTACTGTTAGGCAATAAAAAGGAACCAAAATCAATGACATATATAACAACATGCTTAGTGATGGGAATCAGACATAGGTCAGGCATAGTGGCTCATACCTATAATCCTAACACTTTGGGAGGACGAAGTGGGAAGATCACTTGAGCCCAGGAGTTCGAGACCAGCCTGGACAATAGAGTGAGATTCCCACCTCCACAAACTTCTAAAAATGAGCCAGGTGTGACAGCATATGCCTGTAGTCCCAGCTACTTGGGAGGATGAGGATGGGAGGATTACTTGAGCCATGGAGTTCAAGGTTGCAGTGATCCATGATCATACCACTACACTCCACCCTGAGTGACAGAGTGAGACCACTTTAAAAAAAAAAAAAAAAGGGCCAGGTACAGTCGCTCACCCCTGTAATCCCAGCACTTTCTTAGGCTAAGGCAGGCAGATTACCTGAGGTCAGGAGTTGGAGACCAGCCTGACCAACATGGAAAATTCCTGTCTCTCCTAAAAATACAAAAGTAGCTGGGCGTGGTGGCATATGCCTGTGATCTCAGCTACTCGGGAGGCTAAGGCAGGAGAATCTATTGAACCCAGGAGGTAGAGGATGCAGTGAGCCAGGATTACACCGCTGCACTCCAGCCTGGGCAACAAGAGGGAAACTTCATCTCAAAAAAATAAAAAGAAAAAAAATTCTGGTGGCAGGCTCCGAGGCGGTGAGCGCAAAGCCTCAGGCCTTGGCTCCCTCCTTCGCTGGGCCGTGCCAGGCTGCCCGCCGGGATGCAGTGGGCCGTGGGCTGGCAGTGGGTGCGGGCCGCGCTACTCCTGGCTGTTGCAGCGATGCTGACCCAGGTCGTCTGGCTCTGACTGGGTACTCAGAGCTTCGTCTTCCAGCGCAAAGAGATCACGCAGCTAGCGCGGCAATACGCTGGGCTGGAGCACGAGCTAGCCTTCTCTCGGTTGATTGTGGAGCTGCGGCAGCTGCACCCAGGCCACGTGCTGCCCGACAAGGAGCTGCAGTGGGTGTTCGTGAATGCAGGCGGCTGGATGGGCGCCATGTGCCTTCCGCACGCCTCGCTGTCCGAGTATGTACTGCTCTTAGGCACCGCCCTGGGCTCCCATGGCCACTCCGGGTGCTACTGGGCTAAGATCTCCGATACCATCATCTCTGTCACCTTCCACCAGTGGAGAGAGGGCACCACCAAAAGTGAGGTCTTCTACCCAGGAGTGACGGTAGTGCATGGGCCTGGTGAAGCCACAGCTGTGGAGTGGGGGGCCAAACACATGGATGGTGGAGTACGGCCAGGGTGTCATCCCATCCACCCTGGCCTTCGTTCTGGCTGACACTGTCTTCAGCACCCAGGACTTCCTCACCCTCTTCTATACTCTTCGCTCCTATGCCCGGGGCCTCTGGCTTGAGCTCACCATCTACCTCTTTGGCCAGGACCCTTGACCAGCCAGGCCTGAAGGAAGACCTGTGGATGGACAGGAGCGGGCAGGCCCACATATATTCACTTGCTGGAGCCCATGTTTACAGACAGGGACATACTCACACCATGCAGATACAGAGTTCCTGCTGTATGAGCAGGGATATCCACGCATATGTATCCAAAAACAGAGACCCATGGGAACAAATGAGACACATATAGACACTGAGACCTGTGTGTACAGTAGGACCATGCACTCACACCCATCCAGAGAGGCAGCCCCCAGTATACCAAGGGAGCCAGTTGTGTTCAAACACACATCACAAGCTTGACTCACTAACTCAGGCCTTTCCAGAGCTCCACAGCTTCCTACCCCCTCCCCACCAAACTGGGGGTCTGGAGTTAAGGTTGGGGGAGGGTATTATACTGTCTCACTCTGACTCCTCAATCCAGCAGCAATTTGAGGGGGAAGAGGAGCTGCCCTTTGGAGGCCGCCTTCACCTGCAGCTATGATGCCCTTCCCCTTCTCCCCTGTCCTCACCATATGCCTTATCCCCATTCCACTCCCCTGCCATGCAAGTGCCCCTGTGGCTTGTCCCCAACCCCCTCAGCAACAAAGTCAGCTGGGGAACCAGAGTAAGGTGAAGA